TTTTGTTACTCCTTTAGCTGCTTAAGTCTTCTTGATTATACATTATTTTTCTTAAATAAGATTGAACTGCAGCCTACTGTAGACCTGTTCATGCCATACTGCCCAGCAACATTAGGCATCTTCTGCCCACTCTCTACCTTTGCTATTATACTCTCACCTTTTGAAAAGAAAAACAGATGCAAAACTTAACAGGTTCCTACCTGACAGTCTCGCAAATACATAAAAGAATTGTTTTGTCAGAAAAATAAAAGGCTGGAATTACAAGGGAGAGTTTCAAAGTTTGGAGGAATACTATCCAGTTGGTATATACCGGCTTGAGCGTCTATGTTGACATCTCCCACACTCCGAAAAGTTTCGAATTGTTGCCTGAAGACAAGGGAAGACCAATTGGTATTCATTATTTTATGTCGCTTCTTCTTGTGTTTGTTCTGTAAGGTGTTCATTGTCTGAACATAAATTTTTTTTTTTTTGTGATTACTCAGGTGTGAAGAATTTCTTTGTGTTTTTAATTGTAAAAACACAAAGAAATTTTTAACCTTGTGAAGTTTTCTACCAATTTTTACCTGTGAAAACACTATCTTCATTACCAGCTTTTCCTCAGATTTCAAAAAAACAAGTTTTCTTGATGGTTTCAATGACTTGAATATATTTAAAAGCTCTTTCATTTTTATTTATTTAATCATTTTTTCAGATTACTCAAGTGAGTTGAACGGTTTTTTTGGAAAAGCTCTTTTTATCTTTCAGTATAAGTTCTATAGTGGATATTATAAAAGGTCTAAATACTAAATCTCTGTTAGTTGCATGGCATATGTGAAATGCCTAGTGGCCTATTTATAACATTTTTTTCATTTCAGTATGTATGGCTAAGATAGCAAATGTTTGTTATAATTTATAGCAACAGTATATAAAATATTTCTTAAAATTTAGTTATCTGTACTGTATTCTGTTTTGTTTTTTTCTTTATTAAAAGAAACCTTCTCTAAACCAAGTGCACACTGCTTAAAATAAAATCATATTTGAAAATAATTCATTTGCAATAAGCAATCAGTGCTGGAATTCTGAGATAAGTTTAAACTTTCATAAAATTGTCTGATAAAGCATGTCTCATATAACACAATTTCATATAACATGGAACATATTCCCTGAATTGTATGGGAGTCCACAGTATATAATGAAAAATTCACCACTGATGTTGTTAACATTAGTTTTGGGAAAATGTTTATTCTTTTTGTAATGATTAAAATAAACTATATTTGCTATTTAAGATATTTTGGCTGAAGGAGTGTCAAAACCAGTAAAAATAAAAAAAATTGAAGCTGGGTCATAAGTTTATTTTCCAACATGACAGTGATCCAAAACATACTGCAAAATCAATAAATTCTTACTAAAAAAAAAAAGGGTGGAAGTGTTGGAATGGGGTTGTATAATCATTAGACCTAAATTTAATGGAGCATTTACGGGCTGTATTACAGAAAACGAATTAAAAATCGTATTTCTAGAAATTGTTATTAGAGGGTTGGAACAGTAACTTACCAGAAGAAGCTAAATGCTTGGTTTTACCAATGAAAAATTTGTTGGGCAATAATTAAATAAAAAAGGAGTCTTACAAAATATTAAAAACTATCAAATTGTTTCTTAATTTTCTTTTCATACATTGTAACAGTGGACAAGTAATTTTTTTTATCTGTAATTACAATGTCTTTGTTGAGAAACAAAAAAAAATATTTAGAAACTATTAAGTTAATAAATTAACTAAATTAGAGTTTATTTTTGTTTAATTTTTAATCATAAATTTATGTACACAAATAACATGATCTTATTTAGTGTGTGTGGTTAATTTTTGACTCACTGTGTATTAAAAATTAAATTGCTGATAGATGGCTGATATTCAACATCATCAGATCTGATTATGATATATAACTGATCATATAACTTTTATAAACACTATCTTTCTTGTTATTTTTCTTATTTTAGTTTTAGACCTATTGTTAATCTGACTATGCATTGGTGTTGATAATTACATTGATATTTGTAGAAAAAATATTGAAAGTTACATTTTCAATTAAAAACTGCTGATATTTAATCCAATTTCTTTCAGTTGTTCTTTTGAGGAAGAAAATATAAGTATATCAAACATTGTGAATCCCAATATGTACAGTGGAACCTTGCTTAACGAGCATAATTCGTTTCAGAATATTACTCGTAAAGCAGAACACTCATTAAGCGAAACAATTTTTCCCATATAAATCAATGTAAAATATGATAATGCATTCCATGCTGAAAAAATACTCAAATATTTTATGTATAATGTTTATTCAAAGAAAATTATACAATATACATTGTTAAGGAGTGTGAATCATCATCATCATCTTTTCTTCTAGTGCAGAATGAACCAACTTGAAATGTGAATTTGATTTGCAGAAAATAAAAATAATCTAAATACAGTAATTTCTAATATTTAATTATAGCCTTTACATAACCCAATAATTTGACATAGTGTTTAGCATGCTTATTATACAATAAGCTATGGTTGTTATGTTTATATGTAATGTTTGAATACAAGTTTGGAAAAATGTGTGATCATAAGCTACACTAAGATGCTAGTGGAACGAGTGCTGAACACAGACTAATCTAGCATACGCACAATCCAGGTCTTCTCCTCTCCTCGTCATTTGTTTTGCAAAATGTCGCTCATTAAGTAAGCCATTTTTTTACAATTTGCTTTGCTCATTATGTGAATTACTCATTATGAAAAGTGCTCGTTAAGTGAGGTTCCAATGTAAATAGAAAACAAACGATTGCCTTAAATAATCTTGCTATAACTCTGCTAATTTAATGATTAAATAATTTGCTACTAGAGGTAGACGTTAGGTGCCATCTCTTAACTAAATAATTATAATTTTAATTATTAAATAATTTAGAATCATCTACAAGAAAAGAACTGACCCAGGGTGGGCTTGTATCTGTGACTTTTGCTTGCTGTGTGGTGTGCTTGCTGGTTGCACCACCCAGACTCTGAGCAATGCTTCACTCCCAGATGTATTTAAATTTAGATATAACCTTACAAGGTTGTGGAGTTGTACTTAGGTCATGATGGGCTTAGGAGTTGTCCCCAGCTGGTGTTATGATTAATGGAAGGGACCATTGTAACTTATAATATAAATTTTTTTTTCATCTACAAGTACATATTTTCTATTATCAGGACTTATTAGACTGGCTTTACAGATACTGCAACAACTTTTCACAGATCAGAAATTTGTTTTATTTAATTTCTGATCTTTGAAAAGTTGTTGCAGTATCTGTAAAGCCAGTCTAATAAGTTATGATAATAGATAATACATACTTATAGACAAAAAAAAAATTTATATTATAATAAACCAAGGACATTGAGGCATATTAATTTAACTATTGTAACTTGTTTATTGACAAAATTTAATATACTGTATATTATTCGCACAAATTTTATTTTTTACTTGACTTTTTCAGTTAAATACTATAAATAAATCTCTTGCTTTTAATAGCATTAAAAAACTATTTTGTTCTCTATTTTCCATAAACAAAACTATTACTTTGGGAATTGAAAAATATGTTGTTTAGTTTTCTAAACTTATAAAGTATTTCTGGATTAATCAATATTATAACCTGATTCATAATTTGTGAGATTTAAAAACTATTCTGTATTGAAATAAATTGAAAGAAATGCAATCATACAAATAAACCATTGAACTTCAAATTAGATTTTTTTCTGACTGCTTCAATTATGGGATAAAGTCAGAATGAAAGGCTTACTATTGCCATACAATTTCAAATAAGTTATAAAACCAGTCAAATCTTAACATTTACCGTAATAATCAATGTAATAATCGGATTTCTACCAATTTATAGAAATGTAACACCTGATGAGGGGTGCAAGATAACAAAATATTGCACCCGAAATGCATAGTGAATAAAGAATAACGAAGATAACACTCAGAAGTTTTTGTCTCTGATAAAATGCAGTCCAGACAAAAAAAAAACATCGGTTAACTTTTTCGGAACTAACCTATGATGTTTCATCAATTTTTTGAAGAAATAATTTTTTTAAAAAAATTGACATTCAAAAGAATATATAAAAAACCACACCATTGATATAATACATATCTATTACTTGAATTTTATTTTATTTTCTTGATTTGGAGTACTGTAAACATTAAAATACAAAATTTTTCTCTAATGTTTAGTTCTAAATTGATTATTTTCTAATATCCATTATCATATAATTATAATATTTAGTTGAAGATATCTATTTAATATAAATACAGTCAACCCCCCTATAACATTGTAGATACGTTCTGGTTTTTATGAATCCATTTTCTACGAGTCCAGCCAATCACAGCCTGGCACATATGCAGTTTACGGACTACAGCTGTTTGAAAGGTTTCTTTCATAAAATTAATCGATTCTAGACTAATTTGACTCAATATTTCCAAAATACATATAATTTTTTGGGAATAATCCATATAAACTATGCTATAAACAAAAAATTGTAGGATTACTTACCGAGTGTGTACCGTTCGACTCTGCCATTGCTTAAGCTTGTTTTCATCGTGGAGCTTGTCATCGAATGGCACTTGTGTGCTTCCTGATAAATTATTTTTTTTGCAAAAAATTCGCTGAACTTTGGAGACATCATTAATATAAATATAATTTTTATGGACGTCAAATAATAAATGGTTTTTATTAGGTCCGCTGCTTGTTTAAACTCAGCAGTTTGTACAATATCCACTATTGGTCTAGATTTGATCCATCCTGTCGCGACATGAGTCAGCGATGACGTTTTACTGAATTATACGAGTTTTTTTAGCATGTTTGTACAAATACTGTTGCAATTTTTTCGCTGTGATATAGGAATCTGAACTATAGGAACTCGTGTTATAGGGGGGTCAACTGTATTAGTTATATTTTTTAATTCATTTATATTATTATTATTTTTATTTTTAATAAAAATTAATGTATTTCAGAGCCTAAAACCATCGTCTCAACTTCTTTCACAGTTAAGTAAAGTATTGAAATTAAATCGGATTCAAGAAGTTGTATTTGGTATTGCGTTGTTATATTCATCTAATTCAGAATTGAGACTTCACGCAGTACAATTTGTTAAACAAAAGCTTCCAGATCTTTTAAGAGCATATATTGATTCAGGTAAGTCCTAAAATTAATGTCAAAAAACTACATAAAGAATTCTTAACTATATGAAATTGATAAAGAATCAATTTCATATAGTTAAGAACTATATGGAATTGATTCTTTATCAATATTAATAGTTGTTAATAGTGTAATACACAAGAATTGTGTATAATGCATCTTCACTTTGATGGACTGATAGCAAGAAAGATATTTGTTAAGTTTGTGTTTATTATTTTAAAAAAACTCTAATGTTAGAACTGAACAGTATAAATACAAATTGCATATGAATCTTGATGTCAGTCCAGAAATGAAAGTAATGGAAGTTCAAACATTTTTGGTCAACTTCACAGACCTCTATTAGGAATAGCTCAGATCCAAGCTGGAATGTTCAAATTCTATAATTGAATGTTCAAAGAACAGCTGCAAAATTTGAAATGTAAATGTGCACTTGTTGAATAGTAATTTAGAATGAAATGTTAAGAAAGAGCATAAAAATGACATCAGTCACAGGAAAATATCACCTTTCTTTTCATCTGTGCATCAGATTATGTTACAACAAGCGATTATGTTGAGAAGGACCATCTGGGGAAAAAACCCAAGGGATCTGTAAGCCCTTGAAATTTTTAAGGCAAATACAACAAGTATGTGAATCAACAACAAGGAGTGCATTTAATTTGCAATGATTCTCTGAACATTTTGTTTTAAATTTACCGTTAGATGAATTGATGTTTACAATTTAAATTTTGCAGCTGTTCTTTGAACATTGTTGTAAAATTTGAACATTCCAGCTTGGATCACATCTATTTCTGACAAAGGTCTATGGAGTTGATCAAAAACATTTGAGCTTTCATTGCTGGACTGATGTTGAAGTTTGTATATGGTTTTGTGTTAGTTGCAAAATAATGTTAAGGAAGATAAGTTTTTCAAATTCCAAAATAAAAGCTTTATAACAGTATGTGAAATATGAACGGGCCAAACTGATTTTTTTCTTCTTCTTTTAGGCCTAAAGATGGTAAATTAGCCAAAAAATATTTTTTTTCTATATTTTAATTAAAGCAGTATGTATATAGGTATAAAATTTTAATAGTTATACTTTAATAATATATTTTTTAGAAACCTTTGTATTTATATTAAAATTTAAAATTATAGGGTTAGTCAAAATGAAGTAGATATATAAACTTTTTTCTGTAGTTAATGTTTTTATGATCTTGCTGTGATTTTTGATACTTTGATCTGATTCTGTAAGTTTGTAGCTTTAACTGTTTATGATTATACTACTATGCAAAATATTTGTGAAGGTTTGTGAGTGTTTGCTAATTTGTTTTTAGTCTGCAGACAGTCGAAAAGAATTAAGCTGTCTTGAGGGTGGTTGCAATGCTGACTGATTAAGATGTGACTATCTAACTTGATTGCATTTGCAAAAAGTATTAAAAGTTTAGTACCAAGTTATTGGATTTCTCTGAAGATAATTTGTGAGCCTGAAAACATTTATTATTAATCTGTAGTAAGCTTCAATAAAGCAGTTTCTTATTTTGAATGTTTTTCTGAAATAAACATCGTTTCTTGTTAACAGGACTCCTCGTTAATGTCTCTACCATTAGAAACAGACTTGTAGCATGCTAGGCTTTTCATATAAAAAAAATAACAGTCACAAGCCTTATCTTCATTGGATTTGTTGGAATGAATTTTTTCCCATCTTGGTAAAGATGTAAACTTTCATATTGATGAGGTATGCTTGCTCTGTTGATGGTACAAGAAACACCAGATTTCATTGCCAGTAATTTCTTTGTTTAAGATATCTGGAATATGTGTTTGTGATATCAATAACCATAATAAGTTCTCTGTTGATGTGTGCATTGCTCATTTATTAATTTCCTTGAAACAGTATGAGGAAAAGTAATGCAATTCAAGTCATCATACAAAATGGTAAGTATAGAGCTATGCAAAATACTCAAAATGTCAACCAGGTATTCTGTTGATTATCTATTATCTCTTAGTGAATTGGGAAATAATTTTATTCCTTGCTGAATCTGATCTACTTGGATGGTGATTGTTCTCTTTGATTCACAGCCTTTTTTTTTTAAATGCTTATATTATTCATACACTTGTCATATGCTTCTTTAATCATACTAGATGTTTGGTAAAATTTTTACCAAGTTGATTGCAGAGTTTAATGTTGATTTTCTTTTTGTAATATTCCATTTTAGAATTCTGATAGCACACCCTACATAGTCAAATACTTTAATATTTTGTGTTATCTGAATGCAAATATGTACTGCATGTCAAATAAATGTTGTCGTGTTTAAGAAAATGTTGAAATGAGTACTTGTGCACATTATCAAAAGGGTAGTTTTTGTTTTGTTTTGACTGTACAATGTGTAATTAGATAATGTTTTATGAAGCTTTATATTAACATTAGATATTTAAACAACAGAAATTTTTTATTTGCATTCAGTAATAAAAATAACTTTTGCATATATTGTTTCATATAGCATATTATTTAATGGAGAATCTGTCTAATGAATTGATACATACTGTACATAGTTCATTCATAAAATTTTATGCTTTCCTTAAATAACTATCTAAGCTATTAAATATTAATAGTCATATGTGTATTACTATAGGTATTAAAGTATGTCTTTGATAATGTATTTAAGTAAGTACAGGTAGGCCTTCTGCAATGCGGTAGATACGTTCCTTGAAAATACCGCATTGTGGGAAATTGCGTTATAGGATACACGAACTTAATACAAAAACTGGGATTCGGTTCTAAAAAGAGAAAAACTTGGCATTTGAATGGTGTTTTTTGAATTTTTCAAACCAGCCATTGCTAGCCACGAATTTAGCACTGGTTTCATCAGCTGACGACTGTCCCATTTGTTTTAAATAATCAAATATTTTTAAGGCTTTAAGTATTTAAGTGCAGTTTTATTTAAAGGCAACCGTTTCTTGTTCATATCTTCTACCCATAATATTAGCGCTTGTTCCATTTTTTTCATTATAGGTGCTCTCGGACTAGCAACATTTTTCGCAAGAATAGATGATCCGGATGCAACCAAATTTCTGATCTTTTCTCTCGACCGAATCGTCGACTCATTTAGATTAAAATGCCTACCGATATCAGCTATCCGCTCTTGATATTTAATTTGATCCAAAATTTTTATCTTTGTTTGAAGAGTTATAAATTTCCTTTTTAAATCAACGACAGTCTTTTCTTTTCATTCAGCATTGTTATGGCTAAAATTTTTTCAATCAGTTTTGTGGACAGTAAAAATTGCAAAAAATAACTTCCTTTCACTATGTTGTTAAAAATATACACCCAATAGAAGTTTATACTGTGTTTTGGACCATTTCTGCGGTCCCACTTATTGAAAGAGTATAAATGATCGAAAATTTAGTGATATATTTGAGTGTTTACGGTAACTGATGCACATCTGTCTAGAAACCGGTCTTTCCCTGAAACTTTCAAGGGAATAACATGCCAACGTCCACAAACAGCTGTTTTCAAAGACTTTTAGCTCAGTATGCCGAACTGCGGCTCGTATCATGTGATTCGTTGCGATTTTTCTGTTATGTGAAGATAATTCGCTTCTAAATACCATAAACCGCTTTGTAAAGGTACCGTGTTGTAGGAGGCCTACCTGTATTAAATGGAGAAGTACAATAATAATGTTACAGTTTAAGAATTATTATCTGAAATTCCAAAAATTGAAAACCTCCAAAATTGAAAGTTTTTAAATGCTGACGTGATATGCCACAAATGGAAAATTCCATAAAGCAGTGGAAATGTTCTCCCCAGACCCTTTTTGCCAAAAAAGGGGGGGCCTAGAACTTGCAGCTGATAAACTTTATGACCCCATTTTCAACATTATTAAAAACATATTTTAATATGTTTTTAACTTGAGACAGACCACTAAATGGGGTTGAAAATGTTTATTTTGATTTAAACTAGTGCTGGAAAAGTGTATAAGGTGTGTAATTAGTGACTTGTATTCATCAAGTGTAGTTTATCCTAGTTTTTAACATGTTTACCAGAAAACATTCAAAATTTAAACAATATGTATTCTTTCAAACAGATCAATTAACACCTCTATGTGAATATATCTAAAATTATTTATGTGAATATCTTTTAAAAGTATTTAAATAAAAAAACAAAGAAGAACAATATATAGAATTGTCTCATGTTTACCTTTACTTAATTTTTTAAAATAAACCTATTATTTCTGCACAGTGAATAGTACATTCTAAGAACACCATGTGAAACAAAAATCACATAAAGTGCAGTACATGCAGAAAAGTGTTTGATAGGATCAAGAACAATGTAACAAAAAATAAGCAGTTTACAAAAGAAACACAAGCTTTTTTTTTATCCTAACATCATTAACATAACAGAGAAATAAAGCATTCGTACATCTTTTTTCACTGTGATATCATTATCATTTATCATTAACATTATTTGTATGTTAATATAGTAAACATAAGGTAGCATAAGAAACATATACATCAGAAAATACTTATATGTTGATTGTATGTAGTAATGTACAGTGCTTAAAAAAGCTAAATGAACTCTTGATTTTAACAAAAAGAGTAACCTTAACAATAACACAGTTTTAACAAAAATGTAAATTTAATAATTTTCAAATAAATTGTTTTTTCCATGTAAAAAAAAATCAATTTGTAAAAAGAGGATTAGTTTTCTTTTGTCAACTGTGTTATTTTAGAGTTACATAAAAATAGACCATGTAAAAAGAGGAATAGGTGTGTATTAAAAATTATTGTATCTATCTGTACATTTACTAAAAATTTTATTAAAATAACATTTTAATAGATAAATCAATAGACTGTGTCTAACAAATCAGTCCCTTGTTTGACACAAAAATTCTAGAATTTGAGAAGTTAATTGAGCTGCAATTTGAAAAATTGTAGACCTATAAATTTCCATTGCCATCTGTTCATCTTTCTTTAATCTTGAGAACAGAGTTAGATAGATGAAAGACAAGACCAGATATGGAAACCTTAGGGGTAGGAGGCCCAATTAACTATATAAGAACTTTCAATGCAAACCAGAAGTCAATTCAAAAATTTTGAAAGGTTCCCAGAAAGGTGTTAGATAGATGAAACAGCATGACTCTATTGTTAAAGAAAAATTATGATGTATAGGTGCAAGTTACTACTAATTTGAGGAGCATATATTTTAAATGAAATAAATTTAAAATATGATTAAAAAATGCAGCTTGGTATTGTGACAATGCCACAATACTGAGCTGCAATTACTTATTGTAACAATGTCATAATAAGTAATTGTTTGTTTTCATTTTGTGTTGGTGTTAGTTTTATGCAAAATAGAGCATTTTTGAGCATTTTTACTCAAGGCTTTATAAATATTTATTTCCTGAGATAATGAATTGAAACTACTGTCATTTTGATTGGTGGTAAACTTTGTAGAATTGCTTTTTTCAGTTTCTGAGATAAAATTCATACTTATGATCTTTACTCGTATCATTGTGTATTGAAGTGGGCAGAAAAGTATTATTTAAATTCTTATTATTATATTATATATTCATTATGCTTGATCTGTTTGTTATATTCTTTTCAGTTTTCATCATTGGCAATTGTAAAATCAAAATATTGATTAACTTTGAAAAATGTTGGTCCTGTGTTCTGCAGTATCAAATATTCAACCAAGATTTAACTGCAAAAATAAACACATCTTATTAGTATGCAAATTTGCTTTTGTCCTAATAAATGGTAATAAGTAGTAAAATTATAAGTACAATGAGCAATTATTTATTGTGACATCATCACAATGCCGAGCTGCAATTTTTAAAATAATTAATATTTTTAAATCATTTAAAATATATGCTTTCCACCTCAAATTAGTATTGTAGTGTCTTGCCTTTGTACATCTTACTTTTCTGTTAGCATGGGAGATGTGCTGGTCATCTATCTAATTCCTTTCAGGGAGAAATTTTTGAATTTAAATAACGACTTCTGGTTTGTATCTGAAATTCATATATAGTTAATTGGGGCCGCCTGCCCAAGCTATCCATATCTGGTCTTGAATTTTATTTATCTGACATCATTCTCAAGATTAAGGAAAGACAGACAGACTGACGACAGTGGAAATTTATGGTCTAAAATTTTTTCAAATTGCAGTCCAATAAATAATTGTTTGGAATTAAATTTCTTTGATTTATTATCAGTTAATGTTTTGTTTGCGTACTTATTCTATGTATCTACTGTTTGTATATATTCAAGGTTGCATAAAATGTTCTCATGCAAGAAGGTTGTGAATGGAAAAAGTTTAAGAAGCCCTGTTATAGATGTAATGCACAAATATACAAATACAGTAGAGCGTCGTTTATTCGAATCAATTGGGGACTGGGGTTGTTCGGATAACTTATTTTTCAGATAACCAATTATGTACGAAAAAAATATATTAACCTATCCTGCGTTGAAATTTTTCTTTGTTGCGTGTCGCTTTGCGTTGAATTTTCGTTGATGTTAAGCCTAATGTAAACTTTTTAAAATAATAATTATGGCTATTGTATTGTTAAAAATGATTTCTTTATTTTTTTACAAACAAAATAAATATATTGAAAAATATAAAAACAAAAAAATATATATACCTTAGAAGTTGATCTAGTATCGAAAACGTTCAATTCAGCAAGACACACAGTCCTCAGAAAAACACCACACAAAAGTAACAGTGCTGCCAGCTAAAACACATACACCAACAAAAAAAATATTGGAGTAGCCCAAGATATAGCCAAAGATTGCAGTGCCACAGCATTAGTGAAAATTTAAATTTGCTGACTGGAATTCTTTCGGATAACCGACGCTCTACTGTATTCCAAAATCTGGTTTCAAGTATTTTGGATAAAGGATTTTTAACTTATACAAACAAAACTAAAATGATTCAACATTGAAAATCAGCTGTTTAAACACATCTTGGTTTACTTTTGTATGGAAGATAAATATAAAGTATGTGTTATTAGATGTGCTTTTGAATGCAGAATTTTTTTTAGGTTATCACTTAATGTCACTTAATTTTAGATGATTTTGTGAAGTAAAAGTTTTTAAAAATTAAATAAATTGGAAATTTTTAAAATGAATTTTCTCATAATCATCTAATAGAATTAGAATTTTAATATTAGTAAAATAGCCAGGATGATAAATATATGTATGTATGTATGTATGTATGTATATATATATGTGTGTGTGTTTATTTTTTATACTGTATGTTTGTGGAATGACCAGCATGCCTGTTTATCTGGGGAGACCACAAAATCAGATATTACCATATGGTAAAAGCCAGCATGCTGGTTTAAATTAGATTGTAAATCCCTCTTTAGTGGGAACATTAAAAAAAACAAACGAGTTTTTATTCTAAAACTGTGAAACTGTCAGCATTACATCAAAAACNTTTAGATGATTTTGTGAAGTAAAAGTTTTTAAAAATTAAATAAATTGGAAATTTTTAAAATGAATTTTCTCATAATCATCTAATAGAATTAGAATTTTAATATTAGTAAAATAGCCAGGATGATAAATATATGTATGTATGTATGTATGTATGTATATATATATGTGTGTGTGTTTATTTTTTATACTGTATGTTTGTGGAATGACCAGCATGCCTGTTTATCTGGGGAGACCACAAAATCAGATATTACCATATGGTAAAAGCCAGCATGCTGGTTTAAATTAGATTGTAAATCCCTCTTTAGTGGGAACATTAAAAAAAACAAACGAGTTTTTATTCTAAAACTGTGAAACTGTCAGCATTACATCAAAAACTATGATTATATGTTTAATTTATTCATTTTGTCTTCTTTCTAATGACATTAAATACTCTTGGAATTCCAAAAGTGCTTTTTTAAATGTGTATTTTATTGTTATTTTATTCAAAAATGCAAAAATGAACATTAAATTTAAGTAACTTGAGGTAAATTATCTTAGCTTATATAGATTAACATGGCTTTGTGTGAAATTTGAGAGGAAGGTGTTATTTTTAAGATTGGGATAGATGGTCAGTGACTATCTACTACTAATTTCAATGACACACTGACTAACTACTACTAATTTCAATAAGTCATTAATTGTTTTATTGTATTGTAAACGAAAACTTTTTTCCTAATTTTAAGTCAGTCACATTACAATGTTGTTGTTTTATTGTACTCAGAAGAATGTTTTCTTTAATGTTTAATTAACAACTAGTTTTATTAGATATGATTAATTTTATATTTTAGTTGCAGTTTAACTGGCATGCTGGTAAACCTGGAGTTTCTGGCATGCTGGTCCCCCTGTTTTTATGTGGCATGCCGGTCATTCCACAAAAATGGTAGTAGGATATAGTAAAAAATGAAAATTTATAATTTGACAGTTAATGTAAGTTTCAAATATCACTCTTATGTTTGGGACAATTAAAGTTGAATTAGTTTAATCCCACTCTACTACAGCTAGCTCATTCACTTTTTTTTTTTATGTAACAAATTCTTGAAAGTGAATGATATATTGAAAGTTTTCTTACTTGAATAATTAGATTATCACTTTTAGCTATTAAAGTAAGAAATATTTGTATGATTTTAAGTATAGTTTTTAAATAAGTTTTCATAAAATTTTAAATTTTTTTAAAAAGTAGGTTGGTAGGAAAGAGACATGACATACTAGCCAATGGGATTATATGTAAAAATTTAAACATCAAACCACACATTTTTTAATACCAGAGGAAAATTTAATATCAACAGACTAATGTTTTTGATAACAAATTGGACCTTTGTCAGGTCAATTGCAATTCCAAAATGGAATGCATAGTAGAACATATTACTATTTTTATTTAAATACTGTTAAATTTTCCACTGGTGTCAAATAAGATTTTATGTGGTATATTACTCAGTTACATTGTGTGCTAAAATGGATGAAGGACTCTTTTAAATAATTAAATGTTTTATTAAATTATAATTCTTTAAATTATAATCAAAAATTAAATACTACAACAAAACAAATTTATTTTAGTATCTAATGTTTTCAACAGTAATCAGTATCCTGTTATTGTTAGTTATAGGGCAGACAATTACTAGAAAGCTACTACATCTCCTCTGTTTTTTTAATATTTAAATTATCTAAAAACTAATTTTCAAAAAGTATATACTGAAATGGTTTCAAATTAAATACATTCATTAACATTTGTATAATAATGATACAGTGCATAGTGGAACATTATGACATCTAATCTAAATTGATTTTTATACTTTGTTTTTATTTGAAGATAATTTTTCATCTATAAATTACTTTTTGCAGCAGATCTTGAGTCGTCATATATAATATTGCAATTAGTTGAATATTCAGCACATTACATTATGATGACAGTTTCTAAAATTAAGTATATTACTATTTTTTGTCTAAAAATTGTAAGCTAATGAGCTAAATTTTATATCTAGCATGAATATGTATAAATTTATATATTTTTATTTTAAGCGTCTCTCTTTTTATACAAGATATAAAAATTTCATAAAGTACATTTCTAAAATTATATAAAAGTGGTTCCTTGTTTATTGTTAGATTAAAAATATTAATAATCTGCTGACTTATTAACATGACTTACTGAATTTTGAACATTGGAACTTATTCAATAATAACTTTTTAAAAAATTTTTACTAGAATATTTACTAGGATTAATTTTTCAAATGATTTATTATAATTATGAATCTTTATATATATATTTTTTTATATTTAAGTAAACTAGTGGTTTTATTTTATTTGGAGATATTTCTTGATTTTAACAATTTTTAGTAATTTATAATTTTTATTAATTATTAAATATATTCATAATTACAAAACTTTAAATGATTAATTATTATTTAATTATATAATAAATTATTATTATATAATTTATTACTTTTCATAGAATAATTTTATTTTATTTTCAAAGATTCTGGACCAGTTCAAGAAGGCGGACTTAACGATTGTCCTCCTGAAGTGCTTCATTTTTTGCTTACTCATTTGCTTCAAGGTCCCAAAGATCAATTTGGTATTGGCATAGAACAAAAAGAAGCTTTTTTAAATACATTAAGAAAAGGTATGTAATAGATTTTCAGGACATTTTATAGTAGTTATATCATTTTTAAATAACAATTAGTATATAAAAATATTCCAAATTTTATTTAGATTATAAAAATTTACAATTTAAAAAAATTGAGAGAAAAAAATAAAGATGCAATTATTGAATTGCATAACAATAGAAAAAAATACTATCATCTCATGAAGTTACCAAAGATTTCATTAAGCAATGAAATATTTTTTTTTACCTAGCTCTATCATTCAGCATTGAATACAGGTTTTAAATAGAACAGAACAGTTTTATAATTCAAATTTTTAGATTCATGTTATTAAAGAATTGTATATTTAAAATATTTTTGGCATCTTTTCAAAAATAAATTTTAAACCTTTATGTGCATTTCATATATATGTTACTCTGAAAGACCGAAATTAGAGAATGTCGATATTCTCTGGTGAATGTCGACACATACAAAATACTTCGGTGAAAGACCGAATATTTGGTTATATTATTATACATTCGTTTATTCGCCGGTGTATGTCGACAAGCACAGATAAGCTTTGGTGGTGGTCGAAACGACACCCGAAAAGCCGATGTCGACGGAGAGGTGACAGTCTGTCGCCAAATTCTTTGCCGTTTCCTTCTGCTGAAATTGGTGATATCGTAAGACTACAAGTCCCCGATGTCAACTGTGGCCGTACAGATGCCCGAAATGTGTTGGCAGTTGTAGTTGGAATAGAAGACTCCGACTTTTATAAATTAGCAAACAAAAATGGTACCCTCAAGCAGCTTTATACCCGTAATCAGTTCGTAATTTGTAAAAAAAAAAGTTGCTTTTCATAGATGAGATTTCTTCTCAAGAAATATCGCTGAGAGAAGCAGCTGCAGCTAATTCGAAAAGTGGAGGGCAAGGCTATACACGCTGTCATTGCAAAAAGAAGTGTTCCACGAATAAATGCAGTTGTAAAAGCAAGGGATTTTTGTGCAGTTCAAAGTGCCATAACAGTTTAAGTTGTTGCAATAAATAAAATTATATATCTTTAATCACATAATACAGTGTATGTGTAATTTTGTGTGTTATTTTTCTTTTCTGATTAAGAATGTACTGTTCGTTTTAGGTTTAACAGTTTATTTACAAGTGCTGTTACTTAAATTTTCTCCTATTTTGACATTAAAAACTTGCATTTTTGTCTTAACATAATAAAAATATTTTTATTCAACATTCACCATCAGTGCATGCTGAATGTCGACATTTGGGGTGTAAGTGAGAAATAATGATATTTAGCAAATATTTCGTACATAAACAAAACGACTGTGTGAATGCTGACATTTACCAGAGAATCTCGACATTTGCCAGATATCGGTCATTCACAGTAACATATATACAGTACATGTAACTCCTGTATAACACGGCACTTCTATAGCACGGATTCACTCTAACACGGTTTGAGAATTGGGAACATCTGTTTCCCAATTCTCCCAATATTTCTACTAAAACAGAACATATAACACTATTGGAAGAAAAGATTGCAAGTTACTTTCATTCCTTAAATGTAGAAAATTATGACCAGATATGGAAGCCATTTGGCATGGTTTATACATAGAGTTGGGAATTCTTGATACAAGGAGAATAATTAGTTATCTTGTCAATGGCTGGTACATTAAAAGTGAAATTCTTTGAAATGACTTGATGAATTTTGGAAAAAATCCAAAATTTATTAAGTCATTTCAAAGAATTGGATTAAGAAAAAGAGCTGGTTATTTGGATTTTTTCCAATCCAGATAAGAGCACTAAAACTTTTGTTACAGTTTTCAATGTAATATTTGTGAGCTCAGATTTTACATTCATTAATACAAAAACTCAAAAACAAGACTTACTAATATAAAGACTAACATAGGCAATAAAGTGAGGGTAGCTATATCACACATTAGATCTGATGTTGATAAAATCTGCAAAAAAATGACGAGCTGATATATCGCATTATAACTGATTTAAAGAAGTTCCTTTTTATAAGGTCCTTGAATAAGTTCTCGCTGTTTTTTTGTGAAAATTAACACTTTATTTAAAAAAAGTCGTAATAAACACGTCACTGAAAGTATTGTCCATCACTAGCCACTACTTTCTCCCATCGTTCTGGCAGCATTTGAATTCCATGTCGGAAAAACGACACGTTTTTTGAGGCTATTCAAGAATCGACCCATTTTTTGGCATCTTCATAAGAACGAAAGTGCTGCTCAGCCAGGCCATGTGACATCGATCGGAACAAGTGATAATCGGAAGGGGCAATGTCTGGTGAATATGGCGGGTGGGGTAGGACTTCCCATTTAAGCGTTTCCAAGTACGTTTTCACCGGTTGTGCAATATGTGGCCGAGCATTGTCATGTTGCAAAATCACTTTGTTATGTCTCTGCTCATATACCGGCCGTTTTTCCTTTAATGCTTGGCTCAAACGCATCAATTGTAGTCGATAGCGATCTCCCGTGATAGTTTCGTTTGGTTTGAGTATCTCGTAACTACACCTAGCTGATCCCACCAAATGCAGAGCAGAAGCTTCGAACCATGGATATTCAGCCTTGCTGACGATGTTGATGCATGACCGGGCTTACCCCGCTATTTTCTACGCTTAGGGTTATCGTAGTGTATCCATTTTTCGTCACCCGTCACGATACAATGCAGAAAACCTTTCCTTTTCTGCCGTTGAAGCAGCTGTTCACATGTGAAAAGACAGGCGTTCGACATCTCTCGGCTTTGTTCGACATCTCTCGGCTTCAACTCGTATGGCACCCAATGTCCTTGCTTTTGAATCATTCCTAATCCTTTTAAATGTTTTGAAACTGTTGTGTGATCAACTCCTAATGATTCTGCAAGTTCAGCTAGCGTCTGACATGAGTCTTCATGAAGTAATGCCTCTAATTCCTTGTCTTCAAACTTTTTTGGTGCACCAGATCGTTCTTTATCTTCAACATCAAAATCATTATTTTTGAAGCAACTAAACCAATCTCTGCGTGTTGTTTCCGACAGAGCATGGTCGCCGTAAGTCTCAACAAGAATTCTGTGTGCTTCTGCTGCAGATTTTTTTTGAATAAAATAGTGCAATAAAATTCCCCGCAAATACTCTTTTTTTTGGCACGAAACTAGACATGTTTAACACAATGAAAAAATAAGTTGTTTACACTTCAGTGAAATGACGTATACTGAATTTTAAGGTCACTTATTGTACTTCCTTACAGATGTGTCACCATCTAAAAATAAACACACGTGGTTCTGGTAACGCCATCTGTTGGAAAACAGCGAGAACTTATTCAAGGTCCTTATATAAGAGTTATTTTAGTTAGTTTTTACAAATGCGATTTTTTTAAATTAATGTCTTTTTACTTTTTATGTATTCTGTAATGTATACTTTTTAATAAAAAGTTACATTTATGCATATTTTTTTTTATAATCTTTAGTGATTTTGCTGTTCTGCAAATTTTTCTTATATTAAAAAGTGTTCCGTGACTTCAAACATGTTAAAACCACTGGTTTAAAGCTACATGGTACAGTACATTGATTAATATGATCCAGTTTGGACATATTGTTATAGATATGAATAAAAAAAAAGACACATCACAAAAGATGTTTTAAAGATAATATTAAAAAATTTATTTTATTACAGTAAACTATATAAAATTACAGAATAATTATAATTGATTGAGCATGTAAACTATTGCTAAATTATTATGATTTTTGAGAATGAATTGTTTAAAGTAAAAATTTGGTCTATTTTTTACTTTAATTAAGTCATTATTATTATTTGTGTTTAATTTGAAGTGTTTATTATTGTTGTGATTATTTTTAATCATATAATTTTGAATTTTTTAAATAGATTTTCCTCGTGACAGAGTACCTGTTGTTTTGGCTCCTGTACTCTATCAATACAAACTCGATACAATAATGGATACATTAGGTTCAGATTCTTCTTCTTTGTCTAAAACGGTAAGTTTTTAATTTTTTATAATTGTGCTGTTTAGGAATTTTTTCCTGTTATACAAACCAATTATTTTTCTTACTGCTAATAGTTTGCATCATATTTAGAGAAAGATTAATATAGATGTTTAATTCAACTATTTTAATTAAAGTATTTAAAAATTTGGTATTGGAGATTAAATATCAGGTCAGTCCATAAGTTCGTGCGCATTTTTATCTACAAAAAAGCAACAAAAAATTTTAATTAAATTTTATTTCAATCTATAATGTATTCACCATTATTTTGTACAATTTCTTGCCATCTTGATGGTAGCTTTTTAATCCCGTCTTTGTAAAATGATTTCGGTTTTGAATCAAAATATTCAGAAATAGCCTTTTTTACATTGTTCTCATCCTCAAAAGTTTTTCCTTTTAAAAAATTCTGCAAACTCCGAAAAAGATGATAATCACTGGGAGCAATATCTGGCAAATATGGTGGATGAGGTAAAATTTCCCAGTTGAAGCTTTTGAGTTGAGCAGTTGACGTTGTTGTCAGTTAGCTATTGACAGTTCATGTGGTATCCATTTTCCTAGCTTTGAAACTTTTCCGATTTGTTGTAGATGTCTATGAACAGTTCCATGGGATGAATTTAAACGTTCCGCAATTTCATCAACTGTTAAAGATGGTTCTGCTTCAACTAGTGCAGAGAGAGCATCATCATCAAAGTCAACGGGTCTTCCAGTACGAGCCTTATCCTCCACACTAAAATCATTATTTCTAAATCTTTCAAACCACTTCTGCGCAGTCCTTACACTAATTACAGTTTGATTATGAACAGTATTTAATTTTTTGGCTGCATTTGTAGCATTCTCATCACTTAAAAATAAAAAGTATAAAACATGTCTCTTATATTCATCTGTTACTTCCATTTTAACGAAAATAAACAACTGAAATGTTCCCAATTCTGAACAGTATTATATGAATGAGATCCAATTTAACACTTCAGTGTAAAAAGTATCACATTAGACTGGCATTTTTAACAGCAAAACAAGATTTTTCTCAAGGTCATAAAATACACACGAACTTATGGACTGACCTGATATTTAAATAAGTTTTTTTATTGAAAAATTTTGTATTTTGATTATAAATATATAATCCAAAACAAAAATAAAAATTTTTGTGAAATGGTGATAAGTGTTGGCATTTGGTGGGATAACTATATTTAGTAATATTTTATTAGAATGTTCTATTGATTAACAATAATTTCCTTTAAAATTGTTTAAAAAATTAATATTATTTTAATAGATTATTATATCCTATTTTAACTATTAATAAATACAATTATTCTATTTTTCAGGTTGAAGGTTCAATATCAGAACTTATTAGAGAAATAGGTTATGGCTTCACAGCAAGGTAATGTTATTTTATGAAGTATTATTACATTTTTTATTCATCTTTTCAACAAATTTTTACAATGTAATATATTACAAGATAGTATTTAAATCATTTTTACATATGAAATCTAATAAGACACTACTAATTGTAAAAAACATCAAGAGTATGGCTGAAAGTTAAAATTGTGTGTAGTGCCATCTGCTATGAGATTTTTTAAAAATATTATTTGGAATATATTCTTATTTAGTATTTATTGTCAAAGAATCAAACAATTATGATTTTCAGATGTTTAATAAATTATAAATTATTTTTCTCAAATTATTTTCATTGACATACTACTTTTTTCCAAATAAAAAAAATCTTGCTGTAGTAATAAATATTTTATGAATAAATAAAATTAAGTTATAGAATTATTAGTTATTTAACTTTAATGATTTCTATAATAGAAAAAATAAATTTTCTTAAATTCTTAAAGAATTTAGTAATCTAATGTTTTCAAAAACAACACCTTTACCTTTTGACATAAAAAAATGCATTAACTCTCAATCTTTCCTTATGGACTTTTGATGGAACATTGAATTTTATTTTCTATTATTAGGTTTTACATTTAAATATATTTATTATTATAAAGTGAATTTATTGAGTTTCTTAAGAAATAAATATTTCAGTTAACTAATAGTAAAAACTATCTAATTTATATAAAGAAAAATTCCATATAACAATAAACATATTTTCTGATCAGATATTTTTATATAGTGTGTGAAAAAGCCTGTAGTAAGCTTTTATTTGAATTGCTATTTGAAGTAATAATAGTTTTAGAATGTAAGTAAATTATGAAATAGTAATGAAAGAAAATGTAAATCTAAATTAGTCATTTCCATTAAAAAATATCATCATTAATTTTTAAATAAAGTTAGTTTATATTTGGTGTACATTACTAAATAAAGTTTATCTAACTGCATTTTTGTTTAGAATTGTCAATTTCATTTTGTTATAAAATCAATCTTGGATATATTCTGTAGCCATCTGTTTTGTCATCTTTTTTATCAAATTGTTTAATTGAAATTCTATTAAATACAAAGATTATATGATATAACTATCACAAATTTTTATTTAACTATTATATCTGATCAATAATTCTTGATAAAATTTAATATTTATCATAAATATATGATATATTAAACAAAGGTTTCTCAGAAATAACACGTTGATGGAATTGGAAGAAAATATTGCAAAATACTTTCCTTCTATAAATGTAGAAAATTGACTGGATATGAAATCAGTTTGGCACAGTTGATACATCGAGTCATGAATTCTCAATATGAGAAGAACAATTGAGTATCGGAACTAAACATTTTCATCGATTCCACAAGAGCACTCAACGATAACTTCACTCCCAGAAACTAAACATATATTCTTGGTGTCTTCAAAAATGCTATACAAAAGCACTGAGTGGGGATTTTACCTTGACAGACTAAATATACATGGTATCGTCAATGCTCTTCCACAAAGCACTCAACGCAATATTCATCTCCACAGACTAAACCTACATCTTCATTGGTGCTTCTTCCCACATTCAACTCAGGCTTTCAATATCTTCAACTACTAAGAAGACCAGGCAGGACTCTTGCAAGTGTCAGCCAATTGTTGGACAACCTGTTATGCAGAAAATTGTTGGTCTCCCGTTGCAAATTGCAATGTGTATTGTATTTGTAGTGGTCTTCCATCCAGGGCACTTTTGTTTAGTATGCATTGTATTTTATTACTGTGTATATATCTATTTATTTTCTTCCCTAATGAGAATTTTCAGTCCCCATTGCAAGTTGCAATGTTTCATATGTTTGTCTGTGTACAGCTAGTTTGGCACACTTTTGTGTTGCCAAATTATTATTATTATTATTTGTAACACACATACCACATGTTTTTTTTATGCCATGTCCTGTGTTAATGGTCTTGTTGATTTCCTATTGGAAGTCACAGTGTTTTGTCTATTTACTTTGTGAGTGTCCCTTGCGTATGACACTTCTGTAATATGGGCATCTATTCTGTTTCTACAGTACATATTGTTTATTATCATAAGGAACTTTGTTGGTTCTCCCATTGCAAGTACAATGGGTGTTGTAAATATGTTTGTGTGCCAATCATTTAGGGCACTTCTGTAATTCTTTACTACTGTTCCACAACTGAATGTAAAGTTTTAATTTTGTTTTAAATAAAAGCAATGTAGGCACCCTTTAGACTTCTGTTTCATTCTCTTTCCTATCCTCCTTTATAATTTCACCTTTAGCCTTTTCCTTTAAATCATCTTTCTTCTCCATTTTCACCTCAGGAAATACCTTTGAGTAGCCCTGGTTTCATCTCCTATCTGCTAAAAGTAAAATTTGCTTACAGAAACACTATGTTGTGGTACAACATATATGATAGAAAAACCTCCAATTCAATGCAAACTGTTGAAATCATTGACATGTCTTCAGCCAAATAATATTAGTGAAAAAAGCACTTGTAAGGACATTGTAAGCATTGCAAGAGCTCTTCTATGTGACATTGCTGAGGATACTTTGCAGGACAAGTGGTGGCTACTTCAACTTGAGCAAGTTGAGAGTGATGGGACAGACTCAACAGATGAGAGAATTGATTATTATTGAAGTCAGTATTTTAATAAAACATTTAACACCTTATAACGCTGAGAAATATTTATTAAAACACAAACGTTTTCAGCCGAATGGAATAGGCCATCATCAGGTGACAGGGTATCGAACAACTTTGAAAATTGCATTAAAATGGAACTTTCAAACATTACAAATTCAAAATTGAAACGTAAAATAAATTAACCAATCACTATACAAAATAACTATAATAAATAGATTGAAGCCATATTAATATAAATAATAAAATAAGGCAATATAAAACTAAAAACAAAAATAAACTTAAAAGATTAAATGCATAAAAGGATTAAATTCATAAACATATACATATCAAAAAGCATCACATTAAAAAAGGCTGATAGGAACTAAGAATTTGTGTGTTTTAACTTTTCTTTTACAAAGAACTTCCATGCCGAAGCTAATTCTTAGTTCCTATTGGCCTTTTTTAATGTGATGCTTTTTGATATGTATATGTTTATGAATTTAATCCTTTTATGCATTTAATCTTTTAGGTTTATTTTTGTTTTTAGTTATATATTGCCTTATTTTATTATTTATATTAATATGGCTTCAATCTATTTATTATAGTTATTTTGTATAGTGATTGGTTAATTTATTTTATGTTTCAATTTTGAATTTGTAATGTTCGAAAGTTTTGTTTTAACGCAATTTTCAAAGTTGTTTGATAGCCTGTCACCTGATGATGGCCTATTCCATTAGGCTGAAAACGTTTGTGTTTTAATAAATATTTCTCAGCGTTATAAGGTGTTAAATGTTTTATTAAATGTTTTAAAAGAAGCTGAGTTGATATTCAATTTATTGTCAGTATTTTAAATTGGTTGACTCTCTTGGGAATGCAAGATATCCCAGTGTAGCCAAATTAGTGAAATTCTCATTGACTCTCTCTTATGGCAATGCTGATGTGGAATGGGAATTTTCAATTTTATGCCAGGCGCTTCTGATAGAGCATCAGTGTCAGTTTAAATTTTATTAAGTTTTAATATCAGGAAGAATGCTTAATTCACATTTGATTGTTAAGGAGGGACTAAACATGTATGATCAAAGCCCACACCTTGTACCTATTACAAAGGACCTACAGAAATAAGCTGCCTTAGTGCATATAAATTATCAAGAACAATTGGAAAATGAAAAGAAGTTAAAAGAACAAGAGAAACAGAAAAAAGAGCATAAGAGGAAGCACAAACATTTTGAAGAACATCAAAAGAAAGCTGTTTGTGACAAGGAAAAGATTGACACTGCTGCAGTTTAAACAGAAAAAATTAGAAGAAAATGAAATACACAAGACAGGTCAAGTTTTGTTAGAAGTAGGAAACATAAACCTGGAGAAAGTCATTAATAGCAAGAATATAAATGAAATATGGTTATCGCATGTCATGCTTGTTAAAAGTGTTCAAAAGCAAGAGGAGCAAAAAAAGAAGGAAGCTGAAAACATCCAGAAAAATCTTAATAAAAGAACATAATCTTTCATGACTGATTATGGTTATTTATAGAACAAGCAAAAGAGTTAAGCATTCAGGGTTTACTGGAAATATTACAGTATATACAGAAATTTTTAAAATTATTTAATCATAACAGAATAAAAAAAAGAAAAACAACTTTTACTTTATTTTGCTGAGTTTTCCTTTCATGTTTTCACTTTGTTTTGTCACTGTTTCTATATTTCAACTCACTCTTCTTCCATTTTCAGAGTGAAAATGGCACTCCAAGGCTTGCATGTTAGATCTGATATTGATAAAATCTGCAGAAGCTGACACGCTAGTGTATTGTGTTATAATTGATCTAAAGAAGTTCCATTTTTATGAGTTTTTTAGTTAAATTATTTTACAAATTTAATTTTTTATTTAGTATGATTTCTGTAATCTGTAACTTCTTTTAATGAAAAGGTATGTTTGCACATACTTTATTGTTATTTTATGTTTTTATTGATTTTGTTGTTGTGCAAACTTTTCTTATATTCAAAAGTGTTTCATGACTTCAAAAAGGTTATGAACCATTGCTTTAGTGAGACAAATTGCATCTTGTCAGCTTCCACAAAGAACATTCCAAGAGTTTCAAAATGCTTTTATTTAAGAATAGGCTTTGCTCCCAACATAGCTGATAAAGCTTATAGCTAGCATGAGCAATTACTCTGCAGTGTGAGCATATGTAGGAGGCAATTGCCAATTAATCATATTCTATGCAAAAAGATTTACAATAAAGCTGAGTACTTTTTATGTTTTTGGTTTGATGTAACTAAGATTAAATTTCTGCATTTCAATACCTTTATTACATAAAGAATTCAATGTTCTGTAGTTTTACACTTCTGAGCAGTAATTGCTAAGATAGACCTGTAACCTGTAAGATGCACCTGTAAATTAATGGTTATACTTAATTCTTATTAATTAAATTATATCTAAAAAAATATATAAAGTTTCAAATGTCAAATGTTTCTATGAAGTTACTAACAGTTGCTGTTTGTAGAGTATAATACAAATAACAACTTTAATTTTTATTAGATTTTTTTTCTCTTAAATTATTAAAGAAAAAAAATAGTTTTTTTAAAATTTTATTAAGTTGTTTTAATTTTAAGCTTTCAAATAAATTAATAAACATATTGTTTATAAATTTTCTACGAAAAGATTAATTTATACATGTATTTATTAACATTAAGAAAGTTTTTTGATGATATTGATTTAATCAGTCAATATCATCAAACAACTTCAGTGCTGATTTAAAGTATCAATTGTAATTATCTTCCAACTCCAATTTTGTGTTTTTCAATTATATTTTTATTAAAAACATTTTTTCATTGAGTCTTATATACTGCAATAAATTGTATTTTAACTGATGTGCTTGAACATCACTAGGGATACGCGTACCATTTTGAGTTATATTTTTATTAAAAACATCATTTCATTGAGTCTTATATACTGCAATAAATTGTATTTTAACTGATGTGCTTGAACATCACTAGGGATACGCGTACCATTCATTAAGAACTGATGATTTGGACTGCATTATATTTAGTTAAAAATTGTTAAAAAAATAAATAAGAAAATAAGAGAAAAAATGGAAAATAAACTTCTTCTAACCTCAAAAACTTNAAATTTTGATAGAGTTTATATAGGCTTGTATTGTTTAAGCATAAATACATAAGTTAGGGACACAAAGGCATAAAAGTTTGAACATATATGCTTAATCATTTGTAAGTTGAGTCATGTTCTGTAGTATATATTGTCTGGTTACCTCATCTTAACTTTATTAATATTGAATGAAATCTACTTATTATTTACATGGGCTCTGCATTGACTTGTGTTTAATTTTTAAATAATTAAATCAGTGTGAGAACTGAGGGGGTAGATTATTGGCACTCTACCACTTATCAGCTTCTTTGTCAGGGGATGGCTTGGGTAATTGAGTGGGAGGGATAGCGAGGCCATGACAAGGTGTCAGATGATTGTTCCCATTGTACAGTCTACCCTTGTAGTTGACCTTGTTGCTCCCCTCTAGCATGTAGCAGGTGGAGGTTCTTGTTAATTGGCTACTTATTTATACATTGTAATGCAGGTGGAATTGAATAATCCCCTGCTGTGAGGGGAGAACTTCCAAAGATGGTTATACCCCATTCGCACCGAGCATTTCGATCTGGATTGTGACTAAGGTCGGAGAGAGTTCCGTGGTGCGAACGCTCTCGACCGTTTCAATCTCGACTGAAACGAGGCTAAATCGCGATCGACTGGAGAGAGTTCTTGAAACTAGATCCAGTCATAAGAGAGATCCCACAATCCCACGCGCGCGAGAAAATACAAGATGACTGCTGAACACGTGTCCGGCTATCGACAGAAAAATAAAAAAAGACATCTGGAGAGACGATGACATCTGTCTATTATTAGATATACGGCAAGAAAAAGTATTTATTTCTAACCAAAACTTCCATTTTGTTTGTTGGTGTTTGTGACTTACGCTTAGTTATGTCAATTTTATCATCGCGTGTAATAGCCGGGTTCTTCTCAAGCGAGTTACCTGTGCGAACAGCACGACGTTCCACTGGCAACAGTCACAATCCAGATTGTGGGTAAATCGAGATCGAAGTGAGTCGTGGATTGTGTGCAAACGGGGTATTAAAATGACCAAGGAAGTCTAGAAGGTCACGTTTCGAAGTGACACATTATTCTGTTGGGTCGAAAGGTCTAACTTCGACTTCCAGGGAAGGGAAAAACTGGAGGAAGAAGGAAAATAATGATGAAAAATAATTTTATAATTGTTTAAGCTTTTTAAAACTCCTTGGGAGTTTTAAAAAGCTTAAACAATTATAAAATTATTTTTCATCATTATTTTCCTTCTTCCTCCAGTTTTTCCCTTCCCAGGAACTCTTTTTAAAACTCCCAAGGGATTTTAAAAAGAGTTCCTAAAAGAGTCCAAATCCTCACATCAGTATTAATCATTAGAAATGATTATTTTAGTTGAACTTAAAGAAATTGCATAAAGCATCAAAACTACAAGTGTATTTGTTNAAAAAGAGTTCCTAAAAGAGTCCAAATCCTCACATCAGTATTAATCATTAGAAATGATTATTTTAGTTGAACTTAAAGAAATTGCATAAAGCATCAAAACTACAAGTGTATTTGTTTTGTACATTTAATGCTTATATTATATTACCAAATATATAGATTAAGGCTGTGTACACATTAGGCGTTTTCAAACGCGCACTTTGGTAACGCACATTTTAAAGAACCAAGAGTTCCGCATAGTATACACACTCAAACATGCGTTGATAGATTTTGCTTAGAATGCGCATTTTGCGGGCGTCAGCCACATGCTTTGAGATACATGTGCTGCCATGTTGTTGTACATTCGATTGCACACTTTCGGGTAAAGTAGACACACATTGGCCGAAATGGAGAATGATCATTTTGATACTGATCTATTTATTGATAATCTAAAAGAGACTAGCCATCGTCATATGATTTTATAGATATTCTAAAAGAACTAAAAAATTTGGGTTCATATTGTCTTAGTTTTGGATATAACGTCACAAACATTCCATGTGTCAGTCTATCTCGTAATATTGGGTGCACCCAAAATTTTCTTTGCCTCCTCCATCGTCGCTATAAAAGACTATGGAAGAGGCGCACACAAGCAATTACTTTCACATCCATTTCCAAACTGAACCAGTGCGAACGGTTGTTAAACGCTGAGCTAAATGTGCGGTGTGTACACTGCTAATGCATGTTTAACGCAACGCAAAACGCATAATGTGTACACAGCCTAAGAATTGTTAATTCTAATCCAAATATGCTCAGATGTAAAAATGAGTGATGTGTGTTTGTAATTTTAGCAAAAAATGTACTTGATGTGAATACAAATAAAAATTTATTTTAACATATGTTTAATTTGATCATAATAGTGGAAGTACATTAATAACAATCATCTTTAAAACTAAAATATGAATACTGCTAAGAATTTTATTAAATTAATTAAGATTATAAATACATTTAATATTTAGTTTAATGGAGCTTATTTGTATGGAATATGTACACTCACTGCCAAAAGTTAAGCACGGAGCAATAAACTGTGAAAAAATTGACAAATACAGCTGTGATTGACACAAAATGCAGCAGGACAGTAGCAAATATGTTTATGCATGAAACAACACAGAGAGTTACATAGAAAAATGAAAACAGTATTGAATTTTCATAAAGTATAAGATGAAATCATATTGGAATCATTAACAAAATGATGTTTAAATCCAAAACAAACAAACAAAACCGACATTAGTAGGGTAAATGGTCACCCCTTATCCTTACACAAAGTTTACAGCGTGTAACCATGCCTTCCATGAGGTGATCAACCACTCCAGAGTCAAATAAGTGCCATTCCTCCTGTAGAGCAGTTTGCAACTCTGTGAGAGTGGCAGGGGGTGGGAAACATGTACACACAGCACGGCCGAGGGTACCCCAAAGATTCTCAATGGTATTGAGGTCTGGCGAATACGCCGGCCAATCCATACGCGCAATTCCTTCACTCTCGAGGTAGTCATCGACGAAGGCAGCTCTATGGGGTCGTGCGTTATCATCCATTAAAACAAAAGCAGGACCAACTGCTGCAGCATACAATTTCACAGTGGGTTCGAGGACTTCATCCCAATACCGGACAGCCATCACAGAACCCCCTCGATACATGTGCAGGTCGGTGCGATATCCCAATGAAATGCCTGCCCACACAATAATGCTTCTACCTCGGAATGCATGATGCTCGATGATGTTCTGGGGTCGATTGCGTGTGCCTTTTTCTCTCCACGCTCTTACACGTTTGTCATCTGGCTCCAGGGAAAATCACAACTCATCCGTGAACATAACGTTGCCCCAATCAGACACAGTCCAATTCACATGTTGCCGACACCACTTTAATCGTGTGCCTCTGGATTGGACGGATAGTGGAACACAAACTCGTGGTACCTGGGCGTACAGTCCGTTCATGTGTAGCCTTTGGCGCACAGTAGTAGCAGATATCGTTTTACCAATGGCTGCTGCAACCATCGATGTCACACGTGTAGAGGTTGCTCTTCGATTCCGCTTGGCTACAAGAGCAATATAGCGATCTTCTGCAGGGGTCGTAACTCTTGGGTGACCGGCCACAGGTCTTCGGACAACTGTTTGGCTTGTTTGGAATTGTTTTCATAACCGTGAAATGACGGAATGATGAACGCTGAAGAAAAGAGCAACATCTGTGATTGATTGTCCTGTTTCAAGGCATCCCACACACTGCCAGCGCTCACTGTCTGTTATTCGTCTTCTGGAAGTCATAGAAACACGTCAGTCATGCACAGTAATTGTACAACAGTTCTCCACACTTTTTCTCGGCACTTACATGCAACTCCTCTCACACTTCAGAAGGCTGGCTTCTTATACGACTGCCTGTTTTGCATATTTCGTGACACGTAACCTTGATTGATAGTAACGTAACATATTTGCATGCTTCCACCTACCTCTGCAGTGAATTGCAGCCTGTCAAATGCAGATTGCTTTCCGGACATGAACATTTTCTGCTCCGTGCTTAACTTTTGGCAGTGAGTGTATATTCTTGTCATATTAAACCTTATCTTAAGTGACTGAAGCAATTGTTTGCTATCAAACCCTGACAACATCTTAAGTACTGCACATCTCTAGGATTGCTCTCATATTTTCAAAATTTTTTACCAAAATTAACAATTATAAATATTACATTTAATTGAACTAGTAAGAAAGAAGCAGCTTTTTAATGCTTTGAAAAGATTCGACAAATATTACATGAAAGAGTACCAATCAGTACTCTTTCATGTCATAACAAATATTTCTATATTTAATGATAATACAAAAGTTAGATAATAAGTAATCTGGTAACCAGCAAAATAGAATAAAATAAAATAGTCTTTTAATTAAAATGTAATTACTGATAGAAGAACTAGTTTAATAAACTGCTCAACCATATTAAACCAATTAGTGATACTCATAGGAAAGACGTGATATAAACGAAACAAAGAAAATGCAGACCAGAATGTAACACTTTTTAATCAGAGGACAAGTGGGATTTTCAATTCTGTTATATTTGAGATTAGAATATTTTGTTTTCATAAATATTATTATTATTTTATCAAATATTTTACCTTGTAAATTGATAAGCGAGAGAGAATAAAGCAACTTGTTGAATTGGATTCTTGTATATTGAGTATTCATAAGTCATACTTTGTGTAATAAGCATGTATTTATTTATGTTTTTGTTACATTCTCTTTGAAGGTAGAAACTACATACTAGAATTAATTTGAAGTTAAAATTAAAGACTGTCAACAAACAGTTACCATTTATTCACTTGCTTCACTGTTCCAGAATCAGCCTTTGACAACAACCTGTTTTTGTAGGCTACTTTGTTGCCAGAACATTAAAAATTTTCTTTAAAGGCAGTGAAAAAATATCTGATTAAAACAAACATTAAAAAAATGTTTGTTTTAATCAGATATTTTTTCATTGTTTTTAAAGGAAATTTTTTAAACTTTTGGCAATTTGGCATTTGTAAAATTAATCTGTTTAGGATACTATCAAAAAGTTTAGTTTAAAAATTTTTGGAATTAGATACAAATGTTTTATCGTGTAAATGTAGTATTAACTGTTGTAATAAATTTTACTGTTCTTAGTTAATTGCTATTAAAATGCCAACATTTTTTTTTTTTGGTTTTATGAAATAAAATCAGAAAATTAATTACTTTTCAGTTTTTATGAATAATTGAGGTAGTAGTAATAAATTATAAATAAGTTATTAATTATTAATTCATATAAATATAAAAGTTAAAATAAAATATTTTTAAACAATGACTTTTAAATTATAGTTTAAAATAATTTACTTTTACACTAATGAACATACATTAGTATTTAGTATTAGTATTAACATAATATTATAGGTTTATTTTAATAAGTATTTAAATTATAATTGTAAATGATTAGTTATTCAATGTATTAATTAATATTAAAGTTAATGTATTAATGTTTTTAATGTTTCTGCATATTTACTATATGATTTTTTTTTTTCTTAGAGTATGAATACTGGAAATGGTTCATTATGGAATGATAATAAAGAAAAACCAGAAGGAGGTCAAATAACTACATGGAATGTTGATATATTTATACAAGCTCTTCATGAAATGGTAAATAGAATTTTATGAATATAAGTTTTATTTAAAATATTGTTAAAATTTTTGTTATGTATTTCAGCTTTAGCCTGTTATGAGTTTTTGGTCAACTCTTAAGGCAAATATAAGCTTAAACCAGAATTTTGAGCTAAAAGCCTTGATTAAAAACTTTATTTTTTCACTCAGATCACACACAGTTTATATATATATAATATAAAGTAAAAAAGTGAAATTAAAAAATTGTAAATGAAATAAAATAAAAAAAATTATCTTTGTTATTACTGAAGATTTAAGGTGAAAAATGAAATAAGTAGACATTATCTATATTTGAAGTTTTATATGTAATTATTTCATTACATTAGTCTTTCTTCTTTGATCATATAAATTGTTTTGTCAAATAAATAAATAACACAGTTCTAAATGCAAATTCTGTCATGTGTGGTTTTTCAGTTATTCAGGTACATTTTTTCCCATCATTGCCTCAGTTAATGGCATTTCTTCTTACATTTCAATTTATTTAAAAACATTTCACTTTTATTCATCAACAATTTGATTTTCAGAATCCATCACTGGACTGGAAAGAAGTGATATATGAATTAGATCATCCTGGATTTATTTTAAAAGATAGACAAGGATTTAAATTATTATGGCAAGCTTTAATGCATGGATTGGGATGTAACAGTTTTCCTGTAGAACACTTATTTAGACAGTGGAGGAATGCAGAGGGTCAAGTAAATATACAGAATTTTATATAAAATGTTATCAAATTATTATTTTGTAAAATATTTATCAGTTAATAATAAATATTCATTTTTTATAGCTTTCATTATTTCAACAAATACTTACTAATTATGACATGGTTTCTTTAACAACATTTAATTGTCGTTTGATAAACACAGAAGTTTTGAAAGCACCTCCTGAAGATGATTCTCCAGCAATTGGAAATTGGTACGATTAAATTTCTTTCTCCTATTTTTTAATAGAGCATGCATGCATGTATGTATGTATGTATATTTATTTATAAATTTATATATATATATTTATTACTTTCAATTTAGGAAGTGTCTTGATTTGATTGGTACATTATTATATCTTTCTGATGCTGGTTACTATGCACAAGTTCAAGAGATTTTCAAATTTCCAATGCAACATTGTCCTGATTTACTTGTACTTGGTTTAGTTCAGTTACAAGTAAGTAATTTAAGACTTTTTTTTTAATTTAGAATATTTAATTCATTTAAAATAGTTTAGATCTTTTATAATAATATAATGACATACCTGATGATGATATAAAAGTAAAATATTGGATTGGCGAAAAAGTTCATTTGGTTTGCAAATTTTGTAAAGATGAAAATAAATGAAAACACAAAGGTGTAATATCTGGTGAATATAGTGGATGAATCAAAACTTCCCAGCCAAACTATAACAGTTTTAACCAGGTCATGAGAGAAAAACAGTTTGCATTATCCTTATGGAAGAGTGGGAGATGTGCCTGAGGTGGGTTCGAACAATAGTTTAGACCAGATATATTCATGAATGTGGTCACTTATTACAGTTGTTGTATGTTGTTTCCAACCAAAAATCGATACAGGTGGTCATTTAATACAGGTAACTTATATGAAGGTTCTATGTATAAACTATTCCGTGCCAGAAATTTTGACAGGTGCTCGTCAAATGCAGGTGGTTGCCTAAGTAGTTTTTACTGTATATAATTAATGTAAATATAAATAGATTCAAATTTCATAATAGGAACAGGATGATAGTGATATATATTATTCAGTCTATCCAGAAACAGTTTAGATTTATCTCATATTATTGCCTTTCTGAATTTATAAATTAATACTTTAAGAAATACTATGTTATTACACTTTATTAAAATAAAATATATTTAATATTAAAATAGACATATTACAAATATAAACATCAAATCTGATAGTCATATATTAAAATCAAATAATTGCAGAATTATATTGGGCTATATTACTATTACTAACATTAATTAAATGCTAATTTAACTAAATCTCTTGCTTAATTAATTATTAAAGTAGTAATTTAATTATTAAATTTAGCAAGATATGGTGCCTAATGCCTGCTTATAGTGCCAAATTAATAACACTTAATTAACAGTAGTAATAGTAGTAGTATAGCCGAATATTATTTGGGAATCATTTGGCTTTAATAAAAATATTAATTCATTTGATCACTTTTGACAAATAGCAACAAACTTCTATTCTTTTGTTTCTCAAAATAACTTGATTTCCATGTTAATTTCTGAATTGGTTGAGTTTTAATACATTACCTCAAAAAATTCTAAGTGGCATGTGGTATATGGTAGTGCATTCCAACCAATCAAATTGAAACACATCAATTTTGAGTAATAATTTGCTTTGATTTGGAATGAACATTTGAATTGTTTGTTTTTGTATGTATAAGCATAAATACATATTTTTCTTTTGTGATATTTAAAATTATGAAATATTGTTGGATCTTAGACCATGTTGATATATGCATTGGCTGACATTATTGCACTGTTAAGTTTTTTTTTTTTTTTTGCATTTAATACCAACTGAATTTAATGATTTGAAATCTGTCAAATCAGTACATTTAACTGGTAAAGAATACAAAAGAAAATAAATGCATTTATTTTTTCTGTTTTCTTTTATTTTTCATGTAAGAAATTGCATAATTTTGGGGATTTTAGCAAATTATATTGAATGAACAAATCCACAATAAAATATGAGAGTTAACACCTAGGTAGAATTCAATTATCTAATGAAATTCTTCGGGTGAATATCTTTTCAAAACCAAAAATTGGATATATTTACCTATCTCACTCTCATTAATACTTTTAAAAATGATGGTATCAATCACTGTGTATGTGTTAAGCATAAAATATGTTTTAATTGAAAGAGGAGTCTTTAATGATATATTGTTGGTGAAAATACATAAAGGTGTATCTCAAAATTTGGCAAAATGAGTTAGATATGCCTTTAAATATAAGCCTGGGTCTTTTGCACTGTGGTGGAATGGCCTATCTCTGTGTAACACCATTTTCATTCTATGGAGTGATAAACACTGGGCATTTCTCAAATATCTGGTGAAAATAATATAACTTACAGACATTTCTTGAGAGATGCCATAAACACTAGGTTTTTAAATGATTTTAAAGGCAATTTAGGAATTTTAATAGCAAGCTTGCTTTGTTTGTTTTGATCTTCAACAGGTCATCTATTTGCCTGTATCAAACAACAGTACAGTATTTTACAAAAGAAGGATTACTGTTTATAATTTAACTTTATGACATATTTTCTTGGGACTGTTATTGCTTTACCTGGAATGAGTGCAAAAGTGGTCAAGGTGCTTCTGAAGTATCAACAGTACTGTTTAGAATGTTTAGATGAAACAAAGGTCCATACTTCCAATTTATTTGCTGATGGTTGTGATGGACAAAATCAGAATTCCATTATGGCAGGAGCTCTTGTATACATTGTTTTGCTGTTGGAATATTTAGATGAAGTGAGTCTTTGTTTCTTTATTACTAATCATGAACAATGTGAAGGAGACTGCTCTCAGTGCAATTTCATACATGATTAAAAAGGCTGGTGAATTGTGATTTCTCAGCTTATACCAGTCTTGTGTCTTGCAAGAGAGGCAAAGGCTTATAAGTGCAAGAGAGGCAAAGGCTTATAGTGCACTCTTTAGGTTATAATGATTTTTTAGACACTATAAGAATTTAGTGAGAACCTTAGTGCATTCTGTCTGAATCGATGATGAGGGAAAAGCTTCTAAATGGACAGACATTGTTGAATTCAATGTAAGGAAGAATGAATTGGGTAAAATATTTTTTAAAACAAACCACATTGATCATAACTACCGATCATTGACTTTAAAACTGCAAAATGCATTACTGTTGACAAAACAACTTTAACTTAAATAAGAGATCTCATCTATTGTCATTTGAAAAATACAGCCTAATCACTGTTTGCTTTGGACCAACTCCAGTGATAAATTTGCCTGAACATCTTCAGTTTTATAAATCTTTGCCTCATTTGGTAGAGTAAAAGAAAAATGAAAGTGTTGTTACATACAGTTTAGTTTCTTCTCTTGTCAAAAAGGTTCCATTCATTTTTATTTTTGTTTTCATCTTTATTCAAGAAATATTAATTATAGCACTTTAATTGATATAACAGTAAGCAGGTAGCCTACTTCACCACTTAGCATCTTTCAGTTTCTGACGTATATTAATGGGTTTAAACAAAATTTTTTAATTACATTTTTATTTTCTTAATTCACTTTTGGATCTCACATGTTTTCTTCTTAAATAGTTTATCCTTATGTCAATTTACTTGTATTGTTGTGTTTATTGTTGATTTTATGTTTGTCATTTAAAAACTATTCAGTACAATAATCTCTTTTCATTTTGTTTTTATTGCATACAAAACATTTTATTTTAATAGCAATCAGTTACTTTGAGTCAAAGTTTAATATTAAATAATAATTATGTCTTAATTCTAAAAGGCATATTCCAAAATAATAGTAATGAAACTAATGATAAACTTATCTGTTTATAGTATTTACCAATTACTGTAAATAAAAACTTGATTATTTTCAATATTGATTGACTAAATATTTTCAATGATGATATATTTGCAAGATGTTATTGAAAATGAGAATTTATTTATGTACCACTTGACTTGAATAATATCTTTTTAAATTGTTTCTTAATTGAAAAATCTGAACCAGCCAATTAACTAATAATCTTATATTAGATACATGATACAATAATTCTCCAATCTTATGAATTTGCTGAAAGTCCTGGTATTTAATTTTGCTAGAGAAATACAAATACTGATTCAATATAATGCTGTCTACTTGAAGCCTAAAAAAAAAAGCTCAAAATTTATGCTGATTTAAATTATTGCAACATTTTATTGATTCGTACATAATACGATTATTTACAAAAACGAACCAATCAGAAAAAGGTGGCATAAAGGTGTACTTTCTTTAAATCTATGTTTGTTTGGTGCAATTTTGGAAGAATATAACATCATGGATGCCACAGGCAATATCGGCTTCGCTTGGCAAGAATTAACTGATAAATGCATGGAGGAAGTATGGAAGAAGTTATGGCTGAAGGTATCCAAGAATTCTCAACAAGAAGAGCCTATTGCTGTATCGTTAGGTTGATTAAACTCAACCTAATTGATACAGCAGTAGTAATTTAATTATTAAATTTAGCAAGATATGGTGCCTAATGCCTGCTTATAGTGCCAAATTAATAACACTTAATTAATTATTAAAGTAGTAATTTAATTATTAAATTTAGCAAGATATGGTGCCTAATGCCTGCTTATAGTGCCAAATTAATAACACTTAATTAACAGTAGTAATAGTAGTAGTATAGCCGAATATTATTTGGGAATCATTTGGCTTTANAAGTATGGAAGAAGTTATGGCTGAAGGTATCCAAGAATTCTCAACAAGAAGAGCCTATTGCTGTATCGTTAGGTTGATTAAACTCAACCTAATTGATACAGCAGGACTAGGAGATGTAGATGAGCAGGATATTGAGGAGTTCTGCTGATTTCTGGTGAGAGCTTACCAACAACCTTCAAGAACTGGCAGAACAAGGAATCCATGTAGAACTAGAAAATAGTGATTCTGAAAACGAAGAACTCAAAAAATTTCTCTTTAGATTTCCTTAGTAAAAGTTTGGTAAGATAACTGAAATCATTGATCAAATTGTAGTGAATGATCAGATTTTGAAAAGAGTACAAAAGCAAAGGCATTTTGGATGTGATCTTCTGCTACCGACATTTGCTTAAGGAAAGAAAAAAGCGACAAATGAAGCTTCACAACTTTATTGCAAAAAAAAGAAGAAGAAGAAGAATTTCAGAAAAGTCAGGACCTTCGGTACAAAAAATGAACTATTAATATGAAAAAATTAATATAAAATATAAAAAATAATATAATTAATATGTTGTTATACATTTCTGTGTGCATCTGTTTGTGTGTTATTTAACATATATTATTATACAAATTAATATAAAAATAACTTAAAGTAAAATTTTATTTTCAGTTGCATGTTTCCCTATCCCTATGTACTCTCTGTTAAAATGGCCTTGTTTAATACTTTCGTTTAGCCCTTTGTCGTCTAGGAATGCATCCCCCGCATTAAGCAGAGTCTTACTGTATATGTGTGATGCAGTCGTTATGTATTTGGATTGAATTTTTGATGTTTGAATTTAGCATAGTTTGATGATTGGATGTGAGGCACAACAACTTCAAAATTTGGTAGATTAATGTGCCAGAGGTCAGCTTGCTGTATTGGGAGTAATACTATGCAAGTTGTTTTAAACATGTCCAGCATGTCTGTAATTCATACCATGACAAATTTCTGTAAACAATTAAACTGTGTGCATTAAATTCTACTTTAAGCTAGGAAAATGGTTATAGAAATTACAAAAGCTGTTAAGGGTTGAACCCAAACTTCTGAGTTGTTTTTCCTGGTTTAAATTAAAGCAGACAGAGCCTCAGTTGATAAGTGCTGTCTCAACCAGTGTGACATTCAGTGCCAGAAATCATTGAGAAAGTTTGGCTGCTTATCTGCAAGGATTGTTGTAGAACCAATGATGAAGTCATTATGATAGGAAATCAATTATGGAACCAGTTACAAAATTTTATCCAACAAATTGAACATGTGGTGAATTGCACCAAAGAACATACTAAGGTTTTTTTATTGATGACCAAAAGCAGTGGTGACTTGATAATTGCTCTGACCACAAATAGCAGGCTGCCAGTGACTGCAGTTTTCTTTTAATGTTGGCAATGAAAATTGGGTCTATGCTCTACAGTTCAAAGACTAAATGACATTTAACTCAATGGAAAAATCCAGAATTTCCATTCCTGAAGAAGACAAGGCAAGTCAAAAGCAAAATTAAGTCTGCTAATTTGTGTTTTTGATCAGAGGAGAATTTTTCATGAGGGATGTGCCCCTCTTTTTAAACAGTTAATTCTGCTTTTTACATTGAGGTTTTAAAGCACTTTGCTATAGTGTTGATTTAATCATATCTATTAAAAAAAAAAATGAAAGATTTTGTGGAAAAAATGTTGTAAGCATATTGAAATACTCAGAAAGTTAGGTGATTAGAAAAAATATTTTTTCAGGTCTTTCAAAAAATTTAGATACAGTGGTACCTCAGGTTACGAACGCCCCAGCATATGAAATTTTCAGGATACGACATGAAATTCGAACATATTTTTGCTCCACGATACGAACAAAAACTCACCATACGACGTTACATCAGTTCGCATTTTTCATTTGTTTTTCTTACTACAGTTATTTTTTTTAATGTATTACTTGGCTTTAATTTGAGTATGTTTTTCGCGTTGGAACGAATTATTTGGTTTTACATGTAATCGTATGGGAAAAGATGATTCACCTTACGACATTTTCATGATACGATCTCAGTTTCGGAACGGATTAATTTCGTATCCTGAGGTACCACTGTAACTACATGAATAATTTTAAAAAATCATTGGTGCTGATTTTACTTTGTGCCAGTGACACTGGGTTAATGATATCTTGAGAAATTATCAGAATGTCATCATTTTGATTATTTTAATTACTTTTCTGTAACAATTTTCATTTTATTGTAATAGAATAATAGTTGATCAATTAAGTCAACTGTTCAAAAAATTAGCAGTTAGGATTTGATCTATTTATTATCTTCTACAAGTTGACATTTTTAGGAGTCTTTTCATTTAATTAGTATTTTGACTGAAACATTAATGAATGATGAATTATGGACAATAAAGAATGAGTTTATAACGAAAAAATTATTATTTATTCAAAAATTATTAAGATATTCAAACATTTTTCATAAAAATGATATACTTCTGGTTTCTGTAATTAACCTTGTATTTATTTATTTATTTATTTATTTATATATATATTAAAAATATTGTATGCATGTATGTGTAACTAAAATTATTTGAATCTCCTTATCTCCTTAGAATCCTATAGTTATGTTACGACAAGAATTATTAACATCCTTGATGCCAATCTTTTTGGGGAATCATCCAAATGGTGCAGCAGTTATTCATTATGCATGGAACTATCAGGTAAAATTTATCCTTTGTATATATTAATTCTTATGATAAAAATACATTTTTGATATTTTATATCTAAATTTAGTTTTATTAAAGATAAAATTTAATACCAAAAATACTAAATTATTAGTTTAATGAAAGATAAAGCCAATATTAATTTAAGAATTGAAACTTTTTACTTTGCAAACCTCTATAGATACAGTGTTTCTTATTAAAATAGACTGAAATTGTTGAAATTGTAATGCTAAATAATGCTAAGTCTACATAATGCTAAATAAAATTTCTTTAAGATATTTTAATATCAGAAACAAATTGTATAAAAGTTTCTGTTGCTGTTTTCAGACTCATACCAGTTTTGTTCGACCAATCATTATGCATGCCATGGCTGAATGGTATTTACGGGGAGATCATGACCAAACCAGATTGTCACGTATTTTAGATGTAGCACAGGATTTGAAAGCTCTTTCTGTTCTGCTTAATGGAAGTTCATTTCCATTTGTGATTGATTTGGCGTGTTTAGCATCAAGAAGAGAATATTTGAAGCTTGATAAATGGCTCACTGATAAAATACGTGAACATGGGGTAAAGTTTATATTTTGTACTTGATTGTCTTTTGTTTTTGTAATTGTTCTGAGTAAGCATTAAATTGTTTGAGAGAACAAATTATAGTAACACAATTAAGATGGGTATCCATCTTAATTGTGTTACTATAATTTGTTCTCTCAAGCAATTTAATGCTTACTCAGAACAGTTATTTTGTAAATTGTGTTATTTTATTTTAATTATAAAATTGTGATGATGTAAAAAATTTAAATGTGTGTACAGGTAAATAAACATGTGCATGCGCACACATAGTGGAATAAATCATAATTTTAAAAGGTTTGCAAAGTACATTTGCACTGCCTTGTATTGTTCTGTCTGATTTGTGAACATTTTGTTACAGTTTAAATTTTATGCCTAAGAAGATTTTTTGATATAATGAGCCATGTAATAAATTATAGTAAAAAAATAATTTTTTGTAAAAATTCAAGATTTGTGTACATCTGCTAATGTTCAAACTTTTTCAGTAACACAAATTTGCTTGAGTAATGTACAGTACAATTTACTATTGTTTCAGGCAGTGTCTGAAAATATTTTTAATTTTACACTTTTTATTAGACAAACTTAATTGGCAAGATGTGTGCCAAACTCAAAAATTTTTCATACTTTAATTTTTTTTTTATATATATATATATGTATTTTTTCTTATTTACCTTAATTAAATAATTTATCTGAAACTATTTAGTAAAACTAGGGTTAAAAATTATCAACAATGACATTATTTTAAATTTAATATGAAAGAAAAACAATATGTATAAAAGTTATCTTGTATTATAATTAATTTACAATATAAATGTTTCTTCTGATTCTATGTCACGACTTGGTGCATTTATAGACACTTGGCAAATAATTCCATCACCTACATTTACTTCTTACAGAAACGCGTTTCGGGCTTTCGCCCCTCTTCAGTCTGTTACGTCGATAGTTGTGACTTGTGTGTCCGTACTTCCCGCTCCCTTCCCCTCCCCTCTTTTTTCCCGACTTGACGGACTCCCCCGCATGCCTCGTAATTTGTAACATTACCCTTCTCCGAGTGTTGCACACAGCCTCGCCTGCGACTGTATAAACATTCTATTTTATTTTAATAATTGAAGCCAGTTTTTATGGATGTTGATGCTAAGGTTCTTGTTAATATTATTTTTGTCTATGGTAATTTCGTAGTTTTCTTTGAATTTCCTTTTGTACCAATTTTTTTCTTTGTGTACTATTGTTGCATCCTTTTTATCTATTTTGCAGTTGTGGGTCGTGCAGTGTTCGTAAAAAACTGAGTTGATTCTGTTATACTTCAGGTCTGCGATGTGTTCTTTTAGTCTTGTTTCTAATTTTCTTTTTGTTTCACCGATGTATACTTTTGGGGGTTCGCATGTGCAAGGTATTTTATAGACGACTTCGGTAGTGCTGTATTTGTCTGGTTGTTTATTTCTGTCGGGTACAGTCTTCCGGATTCTTTTTTGCAGGTTGTTATAGTTTGGGGCTAGCTTTATATCTATTTTTTCAAAGCTTTTGTTTACTTGTTCAAAGAAGCCACGGATGTAAGGGAAGGGTATGTATCTTACGGTGTTTCTTTCGTTTTGTTTATTTACCAGCCTTTTGTTGTTCATTTTTCTTTCCCAGTTGTTTAGCATTCGTTTTGGATAGCCGTTTAGTAGGAATTTTGTTCGTAGTTCGTTGAGATGTTTTTCCTTCGTCGGTATTGAGCTTGTTCTGTTCTCGATCTTTTTATATTCCATGATGAATATGTTTTCTTTTATGTACTGCGGGATGTTTGAGTTGTAGTTTAGCACTTTCCTGATCTCGCATGGTTTTGTGTATGGCTCGAATTCGATCCTGTTTTCTTTCCTGATTATTTTTATGTCGAGGTAATTTATTTCTGTGTTTGCCTCATTTTCTACCTTGAATTTGATGTTATCGTTTAATTTGTTTATTTTTTCTTCTATTTCTTCTAATTTTGTTAATTCTTGGTCGTATAGTATAATTATGTCATCCACGTATCGTTTATAGAACTTTATGCCTGTAAACTTTTTGATTGCTTGGTCTATATCTACCATGACAAGTTCTGCCAGCTTCGGTCCTATAACTGATCCCATGCTTATGCCTGTCCGTTGCGTGTAGAACTTATTGTTGACTTCGAAATAGTTGCTCCTGTATGCGAATTCTATTAGATCCATTAATAGTTACAAATAGTTGCTCCTGTAAAAAAAAAAAAAAATATAAATGTTATCATAAAACAATTAGAACCAGAATCTGTAAATGAAAATATATTGAAGAAAAAGAAAAGTGATGGATAAAAAGTATAGTTTGTTTCATTAAGAGATGTAATAACATGTTCAGTTGCACATTAATTTTGCTCATTTGCATCTACATGAAATACTTGTAGTCTTTTTCCAGTTAAATTTTAGGAATTTTTAGACCTGTAAAGAGAATTTTTAATACTTAATTGTTTCAGCAATAATTATGTATTTGGAACATTATCAATTTTTAGAAATTTATCTTCATACTATTGAATTTGATTCTTCATATACAGGAAGCTTGTGATTCTTTTCTTCATTCTACTTACATAGAAACAATATCAACTATCCCATTATATCAAGTACTAGCAGACCCTGCCACGTGTTGTTGTGGCTCAAAATGTATCTATTATAAATTTATAACACTTCCCCTGTGGGGGGTAAATTTTTCGAAAAATTTCTTCTTAGTGTTCATTCTGTTGACGTACCCTATTAAAATGCAATAAAAAACGCAAAAACCCACATCTAAAATAGTATAAATAGAAGCAGAGTTCTTTACCGTAAGCCTTAATCCTAACCATTTTCCTTCAATGGGGTTGAATTTCGACATGTATATTATATAAAAACACGTGCATATTCGAATGCAGCGTTGTGTCAAAATTTCAAAGTAATTGGTAGGAACAAATGAACATTACATTTTTATTTATATAAATAGATAGATGATGATCTGCTTTAGTTCATTTTCACAGAAAAGCAAACTTAGTGGGTTGTACTCATAGAGCCATCTGTTGGACATAAAAGCCTTAACCCTAGATGATATCATTTAATTTATATGAATGTTTAACGGAATAATATACAGCCTATGTCCACCCTGAAGTTCCATTCTAAATATTGGTGAAAGAACTTTTGAAATCGGATGAGTAGTTTTGGAGATTACCTGCTGCATTCAAACTTACTTAGATACTTACAAACATTACCTCTTTATAATATTAGTATAGACATCTCTAGCATCTATTTTATCCTTTCAATGCTTGTAATAGGCACAATAACTAATTTAATTTTCTGCACTCATTCAGTTACCTTGCCAATTTAAAGTGTTTCACATTTGTTATTTACTATTTATCTTAATTTTTTTTGACAGCAATATTTCAAGAATACTCTCTTCAATTTTAGTACTTATTTTTTAGTATATTAACAATTTTAAATAGTGACAAAATGTGAATAAGCTATTAATAATTTTGATTACTCATACAGTTTTAGGTAATAAAGATTCTGACTTAATTGTATAAAAATGATGACTTAACAAGTTTTAACTAAAAAAATTACATTTGTATTATGCAAACTCAGTATTGATGACATCTTTGGCAGATTTAGGTTTACCTAATAACATTTTAAAGTACAAAATTAATTATATTTTTGAACATTACCTGAAACAACTACAACAAAGTGCAAATTGCCTAGGAAACTAGATCTGTTGCTGCTGTGGACTTCACTGGTAACAGATATTTTTTATTTGGTATTATTCTACAGTAATTTAAATACTCCTAGTATTTACACTTAGTAATTAAAATAATTCAACACCAGAAATATTATTTTGCTTAATACTTCTAGCCCTCCATTTTTGCATCTTAAGATTTTGCATTACCATATTTCTTTTTTGAAACTTGATGTGGGACTTATACATTGTATTTTTTACTTTTCATTGATTCATAAAATATACAATATATTATACATTAAAACATTACAAACTATTCATCAAAATGCATTTTGTCATTTGCCTTTATTAGTTGACATCTTACCAGTTATATTTATATAATTTTAGTTTTAATTAATTTAATTGTGATTATATATAGATATAAGTAAACAAAAATGTATTTATTAATCATTAACAATAAGTCTGTTTTGATAGGAAACATTTGTAAAAGAATGTGTTGCTTTTTTAAAACGCCGATGTCCACAGATATTAGGAGGAATGGTTAAAGAAGAAACTTTACCAAAGAGTGCCCAACTTCCACCAGAAACTTTAGCAACAATGCTAGCTTGTCTTCAAACTTGTGCTGGGTAAATTTATTTTCTTAAAATAAATAAATTAATTAAATTTGTAAGTGAGCATTGAAATATTGTTGGAAATATCTTGAAGAAAACTTTAAAAATTTTAACAATAAAATTAACAGTGACAACTGTCTGGATTGATGGAAATTAAGAGACTAATGATAAATTGTGATAATTATGATCATCCAAAATTATTTTATTATGAAAAATAATAATCTATCAGTTTTTAATTTAAAATATTTTAATACTGTTGTAACATGCTATTTAGGAGATTTGTTCAAGGTGCTTTTACTGTATATTACTTGCACAAGACAGACATTTGAAGTTAGAAGCTTGTAAGATTTTATAAGAAATGATCATATATAATGATCCCAGTTATATGTATAATTTATATAAGGTGTGTTCAGAAAATAAGTTTTAATCATTATTATATTCTGTACAAGTGCTTGAGTTAAGTTTTGTCATACATTGTTATTATAGAAGGCAGTAAAGAAATAACAGATATGTTTTTAGTTTTTCTGTGTTTGTCAGACTTTTTGAATTAAGTCAAAAAATTACTTTATGAGAAATTCATGGAATATGCTTGACAATAAATAATGTAATAAATCTTACTTTTATTTTTTTTTATAGAAATGTGGCTCAGGAATTATCAGAGACAATTTTGACTATGGTTGGAAATTGTAGTATTCTTCTGAATAAACCTAGACAGCCTCCACCAGGAGTAGTTAAAACAGCACGTGGTTTAGAACCAGCTTTTTCATCATCGGCTATTAATACACCAACTAATTCGGTATGTTTTATTATTTTTATGTGAAAAGCTTTTAAATTTTACAATAATAAAATTTGAAAACAATTATTTCAGAAGTATTTCAAATGTGAAAAATTAATATTTTTTTGGTTTAGCTAGAAGCACTAAGTGGTCTTGGTGCAACAGTAGCAGGTTTATCATTGGGCTCTTCCAGTAATAGTGGAAATAGTGCTGCTCCTATATTTCCCCTCAGTGGAAGTCTTAATTCTTTCCCAAATGCTACTTCTGGTTCTCCAGCCAAATTATTGTCAACACCAGTGCCATCAACTCCTGCAGTTTCTTCTGTTACTCAGAATCCATTTTCCAATATTATGCCACCACTTTCTTCACAATTACCTGGACAGTTTGGTACTCAATTAGGTAATTTAAAAAATATTGTAGTTAAAAGCAATTTATTCAAATTTAAATTTTCTCATTAAAATGTACACTAGATAATGTGTTAACATATTTTTTAATTTTAAATTAGTATATAAATGTAAGTTTGTTTGAGTTGTGAGAATGATTTGTGTTACTAATATTATCCACTGAACTCTATTATTTATTTTGTTCCATCATTAAAAGTTATATCAAATTTTTTAAATATAGTTTTTTGATTTAAAGGCTTGAATACAAGCACAGTGATGTCATCGGGTATAAGTTCGGTTACAACAAAAGCAATGTTGGGACAACAAAATGTTGATAGACTACGTCAAGGTAAATATTTTTCTGTAATATTTCAGTTTTAATAATATAAATCTGAAATAAAAATAGTGTAAACTATTTTTATATTGTTATAATAGTATTAGTGTAAAATTTACATTTTACATATTTTAAAATTAAATAGTAATATACATGAATAAAAATATTCCATTTTCATTTTTTATAAGTTATGTAATCTGTGATAAGTTATGAATGGTTCAGGGTGATTCATATTTCTATATGCTTTCAATTCCAGTTATCTTTCACTAACAACTTATCACAGATTATATGACAGATAAAAACTGAAAATCCAATATTGAATTATTCAATAATGTGAAATGATTCACTCTGCTGTTCATAGTTTATCACAAGCACAGTACATAGCTTGATAATCATCAGATTATCAATATAGGCTTCTAATCTGTATTATCAATTACTTTGCAATAAATAATTATAAATGGCTTCTCCGTTATAATTACAGATTCATCGCACATCAGTTTGAAAAAAACAAAACATGTATGATGAATCTGCAATTTTAATAGAAAAGCCATTATGTTCTGATAGGAAAAAGAAACACAAAAATACATAATAGAACTAATTGATAAAATAGTAATATGATAATTATGAATCAGTTGTAAAAAATGAAATAATTGTTATAAAAAATGCTACAAATAATAATAGATTCTTTATAAATACTATAATTATTATATTCTATTAAAAATTTTTGTGTTAGGAGATATGTCAGGTATTTTTCCTGATATGACACAACAAGTATCAAAAGAAATAGAAGATGAAGCCAATGGTTATTTTCAAAGAATATATAATCATCCTCCACATCCAACATTATCAATTGATGAAGTATTAGAAATGTTAAAACGATTTCAGGAATCTCCAGTTAAAAGAGAGAGAGTAAGTACTATTATTAAAATATAAAAAATTAATTACTTTACATGTGCTCAGAAGTATATTTTTTTGTGTGTGTGTGTGTAAGATCTAATTATTAACCTATTCGATATTGAAATTTTTTTGTTGCCTATGACATCATGTTGAATTTTCGTCGATGTTAAGCCTAAAATTTTTTTAAAATAATAATCGTGTTTACTGTATCATAAAAAATTATTTTTTTATGTTTCACAAACAAAATAAATATATTGAATAAATTATTTTTTTATGTTTCACAAACAAAATAAATATATTGAATAATATAAAAACGAAAAAAATTATATTTTAAAAGTTCGTTTTCATATAAAAATCGTGACGCATAGTGACATCTAGTATCAAAAACGTTTCGGTGTAAACACGAATATATTCGGGATCACCCATGCAGGTCAATGAGGTCAACATGAATATTTTCGGGAACAATGTAGGACAGGTTGAAATCATGTAAAGCTGTTCAATTTTCTTTATAACCTTTATTGAATTTTTTAAAATGCTGTGAACTGGAATTTCACAGTATTTTAAAAATTCCATTAATCCAGCATTGTCGGGACTGACACTGTGCCAGTTTATCAAATATGCTGCCTTATTGGATGGTGGAAATTTTTCCAGTTTTTTCAATACCCAGGATAAAATTTGATATTGCTACATGGAAAACTGTATAAATTCCTTTCCCCTAGCTTATAAGTTGTTTTACAAATTGTAAACTTATTATCATCCCCCCCCCCTCTCTCTCTCTCTCTCTCTCTCTCCACACACATACGGCAGTCCCACATTGTTTCAACAGCTGCGGGATTATTTAGCATGATGATGTCCATTTAACACAGGCAAAAACATTTGCTTTATCCCTTTTTTTCTGGTTATTTGGTTTTGGTGACATTTTTTATCAAGTTTATCCAGTTGTGAGTGGTGGTGTAAATTTTTATTTTTTGTTGCAGTTTAACTGGTATGTCTGTAACCCTTGCGTGCACTGATAACCCCCGTAACAAGCTTGGCATGCCAGGTTATTGGGTTTGTCATCATACTGATTGCTGAGTTAATGGAATTTCATTGTATTATCATCAGAAGTCTAGCTATATATGTCAGTGTGAATATATGTTTTTGTAGAAAACTTAATATTAGAAATGTCAGAAGTTTTTACAATAAAAAACAAATATTTGAAATATTTTTTAATTGGTAATCTTATGGTGATTTAATTTATTGCATTTATTTATCATATCATTGACTTGCTCATATTTGAATCTGATACTACATTATAATATGATTTATTCATGTCATTTAATAAAATTCTCTAAATAAAAGTAAAAAATATTTAAATATCTTATTATCGAATATTTTGATTAAATCTTTATTTTTTCTATTATTACTATAAATCAGTTGACAAAGTGTAGGACAAGTTACACCTAGAATACAAATCAATCTGTAAAATAATACTTTCTACTGCTTAATTTATCATTCTATTAATTTGATATGTATTTATATCCTAGTGACATCACCTGTGTATAAAAAAATAAAAACTGATCTTTGAAATAAACTTTTCAGTTATGTAATAATTGCATCTCTCAGAAATTAGAATAGGTCAGCAATATAACTACAAGGTGTCCAAAAAGTCTCCATACATAGACACAAATCAAGTCCACCATTGGCTGAATAAATAAAACCATTGAACACTGGTTGTTGGTCATTGGTTTGTGCCTGACCAATGGGCTGGTCACCCATAGTGTTTTGGATTTTCTTCATGTGTCTAATACTATGTTCACACACAATCTACGGCTCACTTCAATCTCAATTTACCTACAATCTGGATTGTGACTGTTGCCAGTTGAACATTGTGTTGTTCGCACAGTCAGTCTGCTTGAGAAGAACCTGACTATTACATGCGATGATAAAACTGACATAACTACACAGTAAGTCACAAACACCAACAAACAAAATGGAAGTTTTGGTTAAAAATAAATACAGTACTTTTTCTTGCCATATATCTAATAATAGACAGATGTCATTGTCTCTCCAAATACAGTATCTTTTTTATTTCTCTGTCGATAGCCTGACATGTGTTCTGCAGCCATCTTGTATTTTCTCGTGAGTGTGGGATTGTGGGATCTCACTTATGACTGGATCTAGTTTCAAGAACTCTCTTGAGTCAATTGCAATTGAACCTCGTTTCAGTCAAGATTGAAACGGTCAAGAGAGGTCGCACCAAGGCATTGTCACCAACCTTGGTCACAATCTAGATTGAAATGCTCGGTGCGAATATTGTATAACACCTAAATAGAATCCAGTTTCCACCTAGGAAGTCCTGCTAGAAGTTACCCCATTGGCGGATCACTCGTGTTCTGTCACATTTACTTCCTCCACTGACACAAATCTTAATGCTGACATTTTAAAGTTAAAGTTACATTTTATCTTTGTATGTATGGAAACTTTTGGGACACCCTGTACATTTCTGTGTTCTAGATTTCCAACATTGCTGGAAATTAATTTACTAATAATAGACTGAATTTTTCCTTTTTATTGTGTAATTATCTCACTATAAATCAGAAGCAATTGTTTTAAAACTTTTATTTGTAATTTTTTATGCATAGTGTTTGTTAATTTTTGCTTTCATTGTTTTTCTAATTTAATTATAGTTAAATGAGAAAAGTATTTAATGTGTTTTTATATATTTTAAACAGGAAGTTTTCACGTGTATGATAAGAAATTTATTTGAGGAGTATCGTTTCTTTCCCCAGTATCCTGATAAGGAATTGTTAATAACAGCACAACTTTTTGGAGGAATTATTGAACAAGGATTAATAACGTAAGATTATATCTATGAAGATTTTATGCTAAAATTTGAATGTATTACTATTTGTACATATTAATAGTAATTATTCTTGATAATTATAATCAATACTATATTATTATTGGGTATATTTATCTATTTATTTACTAAATATACCCTATGTATATACCAATAAACTATTTAATATTCAGTATATAATTCAAATAATTTTGTTTGTGTGGTTTTTTTTGCATGTTTGTATATTTTTATATACATAGTTTGAAGCTTCTGATGTGTGTAATATTTCATAACTAAAAATTTAATTTTTGCATTGCTGTTGCTTTGTTTTATTTGATATTTCTTAATAAATTAATAGATCCTTAATTTCTTTTAGTATGTTGAATATGGTGCAAGATCTCAAGAACCTCCATCAAGACCACAAGGATCAGTTTTGCCTCAAATATCATCAGGATTTACAACTGTTGCTTCAACTGTTGGAAGAACTGTAACTTCTACTACGTCTACCGTTACAACAACAGTTGCTAAACCATCAACAATTTCTGGAAAGGTATTATACAACAGATTCATGCTATAATTTTTGTTTACTATAATTTTATGCTTAAATTCCACAGATCCCACAAATTCCACAGATTCCACAAAAAGTATGTAAATCAAATAGTTAATAGTTTAAGTTGGATATGAGATTGTATTTATGGAATTGTTAAATTTGTTTGTGTGTAAATGTTAAATAATCTGACAGGATGTGATATTAAGTGGAAATTGATATTAGGGATTTCATTTTGTTTAAAGAACAGTCAACAGATTTGTTTAAATGGTAAATAAAAAAAAAAGAGACTTTACAAACTACATTTAGTTATCAAAGTCTTTTTAATATAAAACACAAGGAGGGTGATTAACTGTATTAGAAGTATTTTATTTTATTGTGCACATTTCAGCCAATAAAATATTTCTAATACAGTTAATCATTGTCCTTGTGTGATTAGATCCAGAGAAATGTAAATATCTGACAAAATTGAAGTTTAATAAATTTACTTTTAGGTATATGGCTCTTGGATTAGCATTAAGATATGTTTTAGATGCTCTGAAAAAGCCACATAATAGCAAAATGTATTATTTTGGAATAACTGCTCTTGATAGATTTAAAAGCAGGTAAGCTGACAGAAATTTGAATAACTTGTCTAAAATAAATTTAATATTTGCTTGTTTTTAATAATCAAATAAACTCCATTATTTTATATACTGTATTCATTATTTGAATTAATGAACATAGTAGTAATTTTTTTTTCATAGAAATAACTCTACAAAATATTAAAAATGTAAAATTTAAAAAATCTGAACATATTTCGAAAACATTTCATATTTATACCTATTCCTTTTAGTTATACATTATACTAAATTAAGATTTTTTTTGTAATTTTATTTATTTTTGAACATTTTTATTTATTTCATGGAACATTATGTTTATTGAAAAATTGAAGGCAATTAAAAAAAATTTGCGTTTTGATACAGATTAATGCTCAGATTAATTCCATTATTAATCTGAGCATTTTGACTTCTTTTGTTAATGATATTATGGTGTTGTATCAAAGTTTTTAAATTTAAGCTCACTTATTTAAAACAAAATACTTACGTAAAATTTTTATTAAATGTACTAGTTTTTATACTTGTATATAAGCATTTTTATTTTGTTAAATTTAAAGTAGTCTTATCATTTTTAGTACTAATGGTTTTGAAATATATTTTTAAGATTAAAAGAATATCCTCAGTATTGTCAACATTTGGCAACAATTCCACATTTTCAAGAATTTCCTTCTCACCTAATTGAAGTAAGTAGTAGTAATAGTAGTAGTAGTAGTATTAAAAATTTGAACATTGTGTTTTCAATTTTAATATCCTTAAAGAAAACATGTATTTAATAAATCTGCACCAAAAATTTAATGATATATTACTAAATTTTAAAACACTTAACATTTTACAGTTTTTTACAAAATTTATGAATATATTTGTTATTCATAATTGGGCTGTCAAAAGGAAAAAGACAGTATCTTAAAAATGTCAGTTTGTGGGAAAAGGTGAAAAACTAAAAACTTCTGACCATTTGGCTATCATTAGATGTACCATAAAGAAATTTTGCATGTAGTGTAACAAAATCAGTATAACATTATTTATACTAACAAAATTGAGATAGTCCTTGAAAAAAAAGGCTTTCCTGCAGATACTGCCTTTTTCCATCTCCTCTGTTGTACTTGACAAAAAGGCAAAATCTGCAGAATCAAGGGAAATATATATATATATATAAATAAATCCAGAGGAAATACCTTTATTACAAATACATTACTTCAGAAACAAAAAAAATGGAATGCAATCAAGTGATGAAACCAGTAGTTTCACTTAAATCATTGTGATTTTAGAATAAAAATTTATGTAAATGTTATGCCATTTACAAAATAGAAAGAATTTTTGGAATGCAATCATTAATACAATGATATGACCAAATCTATCAGACTCCAGAAGGATCTTTGATTTTCTGGCATTTTGGTAATGTTGTGTTGATGGTTTCTTTCTTCTTGATGATTTTTTTGATCTTAAATGCATGGGCCCAGGTAATATTTCCCTGCATAACTACTTCAACAAGATATCTGATTGAACACTCTCATATTCCAAGTCAGAGTCAATTTTATATCAAAATAGGGCTCTCCTATGTGAATTTGGCTTCAACATCACCTGCCAGAAAACATTGCATCCTATTGTTTATCATAATGTATTACATTAATCAGCATCATAATAACATTAAAAAGTTTACATATAAATACTTTTTGCTGAAACAGATACTATACACGAGTTTTCATAGTTTCTACAGAAGTTGTGTATGTTATGGACTTATTTATTGATAACCCTCTAAAAATTACAAAACAACCTTTTATACTCACAAATAGTTTGCTAAGACAAAACATGTAGATTTTAGTGTTTTGTCTTTATAGAATTGCCAGTATGCAAACTTTCACCAATCTATTTGTTTAAAACCAATGATTAATAAAAATATTAAGAGAATATATACAGAAACAGATTTATAATATTCAAATTTGCTTTATTTTACTCTTCCAAATAACCAATNATTAACTCACTTTTTACATTTTTATAAATTTAAAATTACTTTTGTTTTCTATTGATTCAAATTTAAAATGTATTTCTAGTTAGAAGTTTAAAGTGATCATTACTGTACAATATACGATAATGATACATCATAAACAAAAATGAATATTTTGTATTTAGTTAATATCTAAGTATAGTACTTGAAGCTATTGCATTGTAATATTTAATAACTTAGTAGCTTTAAATTTGAAATATCTTCAGGAGTTTTCAGGAATATTTTTCTAATAAATCATAATCAGTAATCCCAGTTCCAAGTTAGTAAGACAGTTTTTAATAATACATTAAAATTCTTGTTTGAAGTAGTAATAATTGTTATGCATATATTAATGCACAATAAATTTTCTTACTTGTAATTGTATTCTAGTTGTTATATCTATTTTGTACACACATTTTAAACATTTACAAAGAAATATTCTGGGAGAACATTAGGACTTTGTGTAAAATTGGTCAGTTTTAAAGATGAACAAAAGACGAACAATTGGTTCTAAAAGCAATTCTTGAAATAAATAGTATGTAGTTGTGTTTGCTTCAGTCCATACACAGAGGATAATACAGAAGGTTATATGGTGAATGGTGGGACAATATACTACTGACATGTTTATCAAATTTTATTTTTTGAAGATAATTTGAAACTATTATGATTAGCTTATATCCAGATAAGTATTAATTGCAACAGAAAATCTTGATTTCATTCTTAATTTATTTTGCAAATTTTGTTTATTCTATATATATTTGTATTTTTGTTTTTGTTTTTGTTATATTAATATAGACAGAAGAATTCAAAGAATTGGTGAAAGAAGAATATTATCCTTGGGTTTCTCAATACCTTGTAATGAAACGAGCATCTATTGAAGCCAACTTCCATACCTTATACTCCAATTTCCTGGACACAATAAAAACACCTGAATTGACAAAATTAGTTATTAAAGAAACATTTAGGAACATAAAAGTAATTGATTAATTCTGAACTTATAATTTTACTTGATTATATCATGAATATATTAAATAATTAATTTTTTTTTAAATGAAGGTCTTGTTGAGAAGTGATAAAGGAATTGCTAATTTCTCAGATCGTTCTTTACTAAAAAATTTAGGGCATTGGTTAGGAATGTTAACACTAGCCAAAAATAAGCCTATTTTGCAAATAGTAAGTTAAAATTTAATTTATTTAAGGAGAAATTGTATACATTTTTCAATAGTGTGTATTTATTTTAAAAAATAAGTTTATTAATAGTACAAATTTTTAATAGGATATTGATATCAAAGCACTTCTAATTGAAGCTTACCATAAGGGTCAGCAAGAACTATTATATGTAGTACCATTTGTGGCTAAAGTATTGGAATCTTGTTCCAAAAGCAAAGTAAGTCTTAAATATTTATAACATCAGATATGAAATTAATTTTTTAACAAATGACTTATAGTAAAAAGCTTTCCTTTAAACTACAGGTAAATTTAATTTAAATATAAAATTTAGAATGTAATTTAGTTATTATTTATATTACATTTGGTAAATTTTGCTTTCTCTCAAAATTTACTTATGTTTTTCAAACTTGAGATAAGAGAATTGATAAAATTCAACAAATTAAATATACTAGATGTCAGTTATTACAAATAATAATACAAATTAATAGAATCCTATCAGTTATTTTTATATTAAGTGATTTATTTTGTATAATTAGAAAAAAGATCTCTTTTTGACATGTTATATGTAGACACACAGAATGTTCTGTGTAAATAACAGATTACAAATAGCTAATTGTTGCAGTATCATTATTTCATTTCATTATGATATAATTTACTGTAATAAAAATCAAAAAGATAATTATTGTGTGACTCAGACAATTAATCTTTGGACAACTTGCCAAAGTTTTTGCTAGCTGAGCTAACTTGGCATAGTAACATTTCTCTCCTGCTCTGCCTCAGTTCTATTGTGATATGACAAAGTTGTGTGATGTCTTAGTATAATCTGAAAAGTTTGTATTTGTTTTTTGTCATAATTGTTTTATTTTGGATTTGCTTTTTTAATGTCGGTCATTTTATATCAGTTTTACTAAAATTTTCGAAACTCTCTTAATTTACATTATATGAATTAACTACTATTTTCTGTATTTCCTATAATTTAAAGTGGTTTTGTATGTTTGAGGAAAAAATTTTTACTTTCAGGGATCTGTTGAAATTTATAGTTTGAGTAAACTTGGGTGTTTAATTTTTATAGTTGATTGCATTTGAGCCAGTTTTTGAATTTCTATACTTATAAACAAAATATATGATCATAATAATTGGAATTACTGAATAAAATAGAAAAATGTTGGTTTTTATAATAAATTAGTTAAATTTAATTAATAAATTTAACATTTAATGTATATTTTTTTTTAATGTAGGTTTTTCGACCACCAAATCCTTGGACCATGGGAATTATGGGCGTATTAGCTGAATTACATCAAGAACAAGAACTAAAATTAAATTTAAAATTTGAAATTGAAGTTTTATGTAAAACATTAAATCTTGATATTAATGTAAGTATAATTTTATTTTTTAAAGCTTTGTTGCATGTAATTGAGAATTAAATACATTTCAAATAATATGTAGCTTAATTTATTTTTTTAAAATTGTTATTAATATATTAACTAGTATATAATAGCAACCATTTTTTAAATAAGTTATTTATAAAAGTTAAATTCAAATGTAAAGTTTAAGATTTTAAAATGGAATTTTTTGGAAATATTATTTTAAATTACATATACCTATTTCAGAAAAAAGTACTTTTAAAAATTATGTATTTCCTAAGTTCTGCTAGTAACTAATTATTCACTGTTGAAAGAGGATAGTAATTAAAAAATTAATTTTTTATACACTATAGTCATTTTAAAATTTGTGTATGATTTGAAATGAAAGAAAAATTTCTCATTTCTTCACTTGTAATTCGTTTAATATTCTTGTTTTTGGCATCTATTTCATTGGATCTATTGTATGTATGAATTTGCTCTCTCTTTAAGTATATTTTTCTACTTTCTATAGATTCTGCTGTGTTTTCTACCTGTAATTTCATCATCTTTATAATAACTATTTATGATGTGGAACCTGATTCTAATAGATTAAAATGTAATTAACAACCCCTGATGAATTATAAAATTACAGGGAGTTGAATTTTGTTATAATTTTTGTAATAATAAAATTGATTATTAGTTAATTTTATTGGACATGCTATAAACAAAATTGTTTCTAAGCAAGTAATGTTGTAAAAGTCTTTAAACATTTATAAGTTATGAAATGTTTTTCTTTTCTGCAGAGAAACAATACAATTGAATTTTACTTTCGTAATTCTGTATTTTGATTTATTATGAATTCAGTCAGTAATTGGATAATTTTGAACATAGATTTCTATTACAAACATGCATTAATGGAGAAAAATAATTTACAAAAAGTTCAAATGCTTTTGATATTAAATGTTTATCAGAAACAGTAATAAGTATTTAATATTTGAAAGTATTTTTTTGAATTTTTTAAACTATTTTGCTCCATTAAAGCATTTTTGTTTTGTTATAATTTTATTTTTTATTGGATGTTGGTCTATAAAGTTTGTTCTCAGTGAAGAGGAAAAAATATGTAATATGAAAAGCAAAATAGGATTTAAAAAACTGCTTTGCTAATATTTCATTCCATCTAAAGATTAAAAAGATGACAATGATAAAAACTCTTGCGGCCGTTATGTTTTACCATGTAGAAATTAAATGTTATCACTTATTAAATTGAATATGTAATTTCATTTTATTCAGGAATTAAAACCAAGTATAATTTTGAAAGATTTTGATCGTGCAAATCGAATTGATCCACAGTTATCACCACTTTCTAAACAAAAGGAAAGTAACTCAGTTCGAGAAATTCAACAAGTCCAGACGGTCTCAAATTCTACTCCGTCAACACTCAGTGCCGTTGTCTCTACTGGAACTTCTGAAGAAACTATTAACTCTGTTGTTGGAGTGACAAGTGGAAATACCCCTACTCCATCTGGTACTGCTAATACATCAACCCCAGTTCCAACTAGTGTACCTCAACCTCAATTTTCCTATCATGAAATAAACATAACATTAAATGGATTAGCTCAACATATAAGAATTAATGAACAGGTTAGGTATTTTTCGATAGTAATTATTAGTAATAATTATTGTTATTTTAATTTTTATTATTTCATTTTAGATAGCATTGTTTCAAGCACATCCTCATTTGAAACAATATATTAAGCCTGCAGTTGAAAGAGCTGTACAAGATTGGATTCCACCAGTTGTTGAACGTTCAATAAAAATTTCACTAACAACATGTGAACAAATAGTTAAGAAGGTAATATATTTGAATTTAATTTTTTTCATTGAAATGATTAAAACATTCAACATTTTATTGACATTACTATAGTCAGAGCAATATACTGTAATCAATAACTAATATTGTAATCAATAAATTAGAATTAAATATGTAACGAAGTATAGTTTTAAAATGTAACTTCATAATTCAAATTTCAACATGCTTTAACAGAATGATTATTGCATTTATATATGTGTGAGAAGCCGGAGGTTACAGGTTGCACTGTTGACTTCTGATTGGTGTCAGATTGGCGAGATCAGCTCACTTTGTCAGTGGATGGCTTAATCTATATATTGTCATTGGGATTTCAAGATTCTTTCAATGTCAGGTCCTGACACCAGTTAGGATAGTTTAATGCATGTCCTAACTCGTGAATATTCCAATATAGTCAGCTAAAAATATATTCAAATAGGAGGGTGATCTGTAGTTTGGGTTGTAGGGTTAGCGAGGTTGTCAACAAGGCATTGGTAGGTATCCATGATTGGAGGAAGGTGAGACTTAGGTACTTCAATTAAATACAACAATTTAATAAGCTAAAGCAAGGAGTATATAGTAGCTACAGCACTAAGTCTATATACACTTTCCAACTTTGGTTGTGTTTGATAGTACATCTAAGATCGGCACGATAACATTTATCTAAGCACTTGCATGTTAAATTGACCGAGAGAGAGCGTTTACAATTCTAATTACAATACCTCAGGAAGAGAATCTGTTGGTCCCAATCTGGTCAGCAGTTGGCTATGTATAGGGATGTATCCAGGGGAACAAGAACAAGGAGCTGATGCATCACACACACAAGGTAAAAGAGACTGAGAATGATTGCCCCAAAGATTGGGTGTGCTCTTTTATATCCTCATTAATTGTGAAAATTTGGTCAAGTGACCTTATGTTTGTAGTGATGAGACTCTGCATGTGTCATTGCAGGGTCGGTTAATGCAGTGAGAATCAGACTTGTTGTTTTCTTTGTCATGGAATTTTTAACTGTATGTTCCCACATGTCAACTGCTGGATAATATTGACAGTTTTGAATGCTTGTTGACGATTTGATGTAAGATTTGTTTGTCCCTTCTGTATTGGGTGGGAGACAGAAATACCGTAAATAGGGAAACATTTTTTCATTCTAATAAATCTTAACAATTAACCTCCGGATCTCACATATACGATTATTATATAATTTGTAATGTCTGTAACATGCTTTGGATTTAATAAACTAATGTAAAGGTCTTTACAATTTACATATTACTAGAAAGCATACAATTTAGCAATTAGCAATGGCCCTGATCCTTTTTTCTTAATTTGTTCTAAAAAAAAAAAAATATTTGTGAAACACAATAATGTTCACTTCTTTTTCTGTCTATTAGTCAGCATTGTCATTTTCAATTACTGTCTTGACAATAATACAAATTTACTTTTAGAAACTTTACAATTTACTTTTAATGCCAGTATGGTATTCATTAACCATAACAAAAAATGTTAGCTTTTTAAAGTTAAATATAAAAAATATAATGTTCTCAAAATTATTTTGCAGCACTGTCATTTTCTATGTTGAATGGTTCATTTTGAAGCGTGTATGTGTTTTTCAGTGTGATATAATTTGCTATATTTCATCAAACAATAAAAGTTAGTAAATGTTATTAAATTAAATAGTCCATTAGTACAGTAATGCCTGGAAACAGATTGTTGACAATTGATGGTGAATGTAAAAATATAATAGTTGAGTGAATAAACCATTGAACACTGGTGGTTGGTCATGGGTTCATGTCTGACCATCAGGCTGGCTGTGTGAACTTTTTTGAGTTTTCTTTACATAGTTAACATCTAATTAGGGACTAGATTTCTTGAAAGCTATGCCAGGAAGCATCTTTTTCAAGAAATCCAGATACAGTAGAGTGTCATTTATCCTAATCAATTGGGGATTGAGGTTGTTCGGATAATTGATTATGTACAAAAAAATATATTAACCTATCCCGTGTTGAAATTTTTCTCCGTTGCATGTTGCTTCGTGTTGAATTTTTGTTGATGTTAAGCCTAACGAAGACTAATGTATCATTAATTAATTAAAAATTATTTTTTTTATTTTGTACAAACAAAATAAATATATTGAAAAATATAAAAACAATAAAAAAAATTATACTTCAGAAGTTAATTTAGTATCAAAAGCGTATAATATTTTGAGTAGCCCAAGATATAGCCAAAGATTGCGGTGCCACAGCACTGGCGAAAATTTAAATTTGCCGACTGGAATTCTTTCGGATAATTGACTTTTGGATAAACGATGCTCTACTGTATATGTATTTTTTTTTCATAAATATGTTCAATGCTGTTTAAAAAGTATTTAAAATTTTTAATTTTTGTAATATTTTTTATATTACACATAAGACAACTATCTAATTATGTTACAAATTTAAATCAGTGCAAATTTGATATAATTAAAAATTATTGTAAATTTAATTATTATGAAAATAGTTCTTATAAGGAGTTTAAAACTTTTTGCTTATCATATTGTATATATTTTAAATTCTGTTATACATATCTTATAAAATTTTATTTATTAACTTCTTACAAAAAAGTTTTTAATTTTTTTAAGGAAAAAAAATTTTACATAAAAAATACAATTATGCTTTGTTGTTGAACATGTCTTTTTAATGTGAAACATATTTTTAAAAATGTTTATTTTTCTAGGATTTTGCCTTAGATCCTGAGGAGCAACGAATGCGTATTGCTGCACATCATATGGTAAAAAATTTGACAGCTGGAATGGCAATGATTACATGTAGAGATCCCTTACTTTTATCAATAAGTGCAAATCTGAGGTCAGCATTTACTAGTGCTATACAGAGAGTAAGTAAATATCATGTCATATATATCTAGATAATGTGTTTTTATTTCATGTAATTTATTGCTGTAAAGAATGTTATGAAATCAATAAAGTCAGTAATATATCAAGAATATCAGACTAAAGTTCATTAAAACTTTAAAAATACAAAGTACTTTTATCTTTATATTTTAAAGTTCATTAAAAATACAAAGTACATTTTCAGTATGTAGTAACTTTAGTGTCCTGAATTTTTAGATGTAATACAGTTAAATAAATTTCATTTTTATAGCATGTTGTATTTAAGAGAACACGTGTAATAAGTTTATAAAATTTAATAATAAGTTTGAAAATTATCTTAATAAAATGTTTATATAGTAAGTTATATTGAATGCAAATACGATAATTATTATATGGCTTATTTTTGAAAAAAAAAGTAAAATATTCACATTTATATTCTGGAATATTTTCAACATATGATCACATGCAATTTTTACAAGATTGCATATGTAAGGTGCTGATTTTTCACATGTAATCGTTATTCCTCAAAGTTGATGATTCTGAAAAATTTAGTGATGTCTTCTCTCACATGCAAACTTCAACATCATACTTTGTTTAGTTTGAGATATTGTTTTGTTTCCAGAACAATGTTCCAACCTGGGCTCCCTTAGGGAGCTCTTCAAACTTCACAGTAGCTTGGGCTAATGTGAAACAAGTTCAGCTAGAAATAAATGACAAGGATTGAGGTATTTCTCAGAAGGATTAGAAAATAATTTTTCTGTATTTTTCAGACACAAAGCAATTAAAAACATCTAAACTGTTAAAGATCATAGTGTTCCAGGCTATTTTATAGAGAGAAGAATTAAAAATTGTAACTACTTGCAGACCATGCATGTCATTATGTCAAGCATAGCTGACAAACATTCATAACATCATGACTACCTCTTATGGCAATTGTGAGAGCCTCCGTGAAGTCAGAGTAGAAAATTGCTGCTTTATGCATGCAATTGTGTGATAGTAAGGAAAAATTGTATGCAATAGCATATATAAGTTCGAAATATTCCACAGTGGTATTTTGAGAGCCTGTGATTAGTGGAAAAATTTTGTTTTGATCAAAATTTTTACACAGTTAGATACATAGCATGCTGCATGGAAGTTCAGCTAAGTAAGTCCATTTGGTGAAAAATGCTCTTGAAAAACTAGTAGGTGGAAAATTGCTGCTATTGCAGGTGATCACAGGTTAAAATTGCCTTTGTAAAAATTTAAAAAAAAAAGCTATTTAACACCTAATATTAACCTTTCAGCTGTGCATCTCGATAATCTGAAACAACGTCGTAGTTGGGTAGACAGTTTCTGGTTTTTATAGTGATTTTTTAATTTGCAATATCTCACTTAAAAATTGTTGTAGATCTGATATGTTTCTTGTCTTTTATCACACACATATCACACTTTACTATTGTTCATTTTAAAATATTACGTGCGTTTTTAAAAAATTTATAAAATTCGAGATTTCAAAAAATCAAAAAAAATTTTTTTAATAAGCATCCGATTAATCTGTTATATATTTTAGATCAGGGGTCGCCAAAATGGTCGATATTGACCCCAAGGGGTCGATGCAACATCATTGGGGGGGTCAATGCGGCTAGGGGGTCGATTAGGGGGTCAATGCGGCTGAGGGGTCACGTTTTTTTTTTTTCGGCATACACTTACACTTGTAATAAAACTTTACGGTGGGGGTCAATGTGAGGTTTTGGAAAGTGGTTGGGGGTGAATGGTTAAAAAAGTTTGGCGACCCCTATGTTAGATAGATAGGTCTATATTCTCACAGATAAAAAGAACTGCAGCTTTCTAAACTAGTGTAGAGAAATAATACAGACTATACATTATAATGCCAATCAGCGTGGAAAGGAGTGGTGGTTTTTCTAAATCTGGGTCAATAGAATTTTTATTATTGACTAGCTGCAAGGACCCGCTTCGCTGGGCAAAAAGTAACGATAGTGAAGATTAAGATAATTACATTATAGCTAATCTTACCCGTTTTCACAGAATGCAAGAATTAGGTCCCACGTTTCCAGACTAATTAGAGAATTTTTACGTTTAGTCAAACGAACTATTTTCGGCATTTCTGGAACATTTACAATCGTTCTAAAATCGAACCAATATTCAAATTTTATGTTCAAATTTAATTCGAACAAATTTGAACAAAACATTCAAAATAGAAAGCCACTTTCAACCACTTTCAGCCTCATATCTCCCGCACCCTTATAGCTATCGAGACGCAACCACCCCTATGCACGAATGGAGACTTGGGGCTACTACCACATACAAACACCATTCACGTGCGATGTGTAGTTTAGGCGGAAAAGTGAAATATAGGGACATACATGTCCATTTTTATATATATATATATATATAGATGATGTATATTTGATTCTATTTATACATTATTTACACTATTGTACTAACAGTGGTATATATCAAGCGATTATTACTTTATTATATTAATGATTATGTATTTCGAAAGTATTACAATAACCGGAAGTACTTTGTTTTTTAAAAGATTTATGGCTGGATGGTTTAAAAAACTTGCTTGTTTGTTAAATAGGATAAATATACATAAAAATTCACTAAATTCAAGCTAAAAATAGATGAGAATAATGATTTATAATTGTTTGTTTGTAGCTGACAATGTAGCTCCGAGAAGGTATAACTTAACTTTGAGTCAATGCTTATTCGTTAAAGGATAGTCATTTAGCTATTATATACCAATTAGAGATCAACAGGCATGCGAATAAGATTTTATTGCCAAATGAACAAAAGAAGGGTCTCCCATAGACTTAACATGGAAAGAGGAGTTTTGTGGGTAAATTTAAAAATACGGGGTGGTAACAAATATCTTATTTGTTGAAACAGATTCAGTCTATATAGATAAAAGCCAATCAGTGCTTAAATCGCCACCAACTAGTTAATTATGAAAAAAAAAATGACACTTATTCCAACTGGAGTACTGCGCAACAGTGTAACTAAAACTGGTTTCTCTAATGGTAGTACCGTGCAAACAACTGGTTAAAAACAGTTACTAAAATATTAATATTAAGATAATAAATATACTTTAATTTCTGCTATTATTATATTACAGAATTACCAAATTTTAAATTTATATGTTTTGTTTTATAAAAATTTTTATTTGAACTGATACGTTCAGTAAACTTTATCATTATACTCCTTTCATGTTATGAAAACAAACTGGATAATAAATTAATTTGAGTTTCATTAATTTACAAATATTTTTTGATTAGTGTGAATTAAATATAATTAATTCATATGTTTTCCATTTTACATATAGGTTCAAAATCCTCAGCAAAAAGAAATAACAGAACAAGCTGCCACATTAGTAGCACAAGAAAATGTTGAGCTTGCTTGTTGTTTTATACAAAAAACTGCTGTTGAGAAAGCTATTCCAGAAATTGATAAGCGACTGAGTGCAGTAAGTAATAAGTAATAATTTTAATATTTGATCTACTTCCAAGTTTTAATTCAAATATTAGTCTTTTTTTTCCTCTCTTCTCATTAATGTGCTATTGTTTAGTGTGGGATTATTGAAAAAGGTAATAGTTTTTTGTATTTTATAGTATGATGTACTCAAAAAAGGAAATAAGTATTAAGTTAAACACAGTCTACACAAGGTCTGTTCAAAAAATAACCAAACTTTTTGAATTGCACAAAAACAGTGTGTCCTAGTGTTGTGAAGTTAACAACACTATGTTTGTGATAATCTATCGAGTAAGCTGCTTTTTTCAGATTGTTGGTATCTTGTTTTATTCTCACATTATTGTTTTTTGAGTGAAAGGTGTTTCAATGTTCATGGTGATTTTTGCAATGTGCAATTTACGGGAGCAACAATGCAATGTGAAGTTTGCATGAAACTGAAGAAAACTTTTATGGAAATATTTCAACTTTTGAATCAAGCTTATGGAGGCAATGCTTTAGGTGGTTTACCTGATTCAAAAGTGGTCTTCAATTAGTTGAAGATGACCATCAACCAGGAAAGCCTTTGACTTCAACTGATGACACTCGCATTCAGAAAATCAAAGTTGTGAACTTTAAATTTTTGCCTCAAGATCAAACAATCAATCGTCAGTACTATGAAGATGTTTTGAAACAATTGCATGAAAAATTCACAAAAAGAGGCCAGAGTTGTGGCAAGACAACTCATGGTTCCTTCACCATGACAACATGCCTGCTCACTCAGCCTTGTCAATTTGCCAGTTTTGTGCCAAAAATCAAATGACTGTCCTTCCCAGCCTTCCTACTCATCACATCTGGCTCCTTGCAATTTTTTTTTCTTCTTCCCAAAATTAAAATCAGTGCTGAAAGGACACCATTCTGACACAATTGATGACATTAAAACACAGTGCTGGGTTATCGAATATGCAACTTATCAGATGATGGAAATTTTTTTGATTCCCTGGACACAATTTTACATGTGTTTGCGTGAAAACTACAAACCCCCTTTTATTATTGTTTAATGTTTTGTGATGTGATTTTTAATGATTGTTTAATGTGTCATTTCAATTTTTCCAGGTTATTCCTACCCTTGGTTGGTTTGAAACAAGAACACACTAATCTTACTTTGTGCTTTGTACTCTTTTATCTATATCTATCCTATATTCTATATATTAAAAGCAAAATGTTCCATCATTGCCAACCAAAACTAACACTTTACAAAAAGAGCTATAAATAGAGAGTTAATTAACTGTGATTGCAAGGATGAAATATATGCAAATTAATCATGATGGACAACAAGTACTCTGTCAACACCGTTAGAAATATGTTTCAATTTACTTGATTTCAATTTTAATTAATTTATTTATTTTGAGTTTAGTTTTAGTTTCTGTTTTGGTGTAAAGCTCAGTTTTTTTAAATTTTTTAAAATTTAATTGTTGTTTTTAGTTTTAATTAATTGGCTATGTAGTTGCATATAAATACAGACAAATACCCAGTATACTTATACTTCCCCGAAGATGAGCTGGACATGCCTGCTTATTGGGTTTGCTGGCATACTGGATGCCTTGTTAATGGAATTTCACTGTAAATCATAAATCAATCATATTATTTCACATGCATAGACAGGATTACTTTTTATTCCTGTCTATATATATCTGTAAATAAATTGTGGATGTTTTATAATTAAAATTATACACATTTTTAGTTTCATGTATTATATAAAATTAATAAATATTTATGAAGGATTTGACTAATGTATTAAGTTTATTTTTTATATTCTGTGAATAACATGATGATGATGATTTCATAATAATTAGAACAATAATTAGAATTAAAATGAATAGAATTACACTTTTAATTTTACATTCCATTACTTAAATGAAGATGTAATAATTTTATTATATAACATTTGTAATTCTTTTGACTTTTTTCTTCTTTAAGGAATATGAAGTGAGGAAACATGCTAGGGGTGAAGGTAGAAGATATTGTGATCCTTTAGTTTTGACATATCAAGCTGAAAGAATGCCTGAACAAATAAGGCTAAAGGTATATTTCAGATAATTCTAACATAATTTTTATTACATAAGTGTATTCTGTTTCATAGATTTTATTAGTCATGACATTATATAAATCTTGAGAATTTCTTTAAACAATATTATAATTTATNTTTTTTCGCGTGCGCAAAAAATTCTGAAAAAATTTGGGGACCTAAAAAACATTCCAAAAATTCAAAAAAAATAATTTTTTTAAAAGTGGCCTTAACGACCGATTTTTACGTAACGCTATAAAACTTGCTCCAGTCACACTCGAGCGCGGCTCAGAAGGGGTTAATCAACTTTATTGTGATCTTAGTTTATGTTAAACTTTATTTGATGGCTCTGTCTGAAGTTATGAGTTCAGTATTATAATAGTCACAGCTTCCATTTTTTTATCAATTTTTTTCCTAAGATTGATAAGGGATCATACATTAATTACATGTACAGTTTAATGGCGGGAGGGGTTCAAAATATACAATTTGGATAGGAGACAAGGCATTGTCTTCTTTGACTTTTTGTTGTGATATTACTGGCATCCAAAGTTGTTGTTATAAGCCTGCTTACTAGTCGTGAATAACCTGTCAAAAATATTTGCAGAACTTTGTAATTTCTTCAACATAAGATGGATTTACTGAACTATTTTGCACATAATTAAACAGAAGGAAGTTTGCAAAAAGTACATCATGTATATAACAGGGAGGGAAGGAATTAAAAGTAGCTTGAAAATTGTATGTGTAATTAATAGACAATCCCTAAATTAAGAATATTATGATAAGATTATCTTGTAAAAACAAGCATTGAAACTCAAGTTACTTATTACTTGGAAATAGCAATCATTATTAAACTGAACAATTTTTTAATTTCTGAAGATAAAAATTTTTATCAAAAAATTATAACTGTCTTGAATGAAAATTAAAATATGGTTATAAAAATTTGAAATTCATTTGATAATGATTTTAAATAATAAAGTTTATATATTACTTACATAAAATCTTTTTGCTAAATTATTTAAGTGTTTTGAAGGAAAAAAAATTGAAAATAATGTTACAAACTTTCATTATATTAATGTACTTGAAAAAAAAACAAATGCTTCTACTTAAAATGATTTGTTTTGTTAATCTTCAGTTGATTCAAGCAAATGGAACAAAAGAATTTTTTAAGATCAGTGTCATTTTTTTTATTTAAAGTGATCACATTATCATTTTGAATTTTTATATTCTGTTTTTTTTATGATGGTGATGATAAGCAATTACATCAATATAAATTATGATGGAATAAAAATTAAATTTAATTATTGTTATGCTTTTAATTAAATTAAATTTAATTAGGATTTTTCTTCAGCTCTGGTTTTCAGAATACTTTTATAAGAAGCATAACTTCATTGTTCTTATGATAATATTTTAGACAGCAAAACACAATAGTCAAAATGGGTATAATAGTTTTTCCAAATAAAAATTGTTATAAACATTTTACAAGCATTATGAAAAAAGTTAACTTATTATTAATTTTTTTTTTCTGTTATTAAAATAGGTTGGAGGTGTTACTTCTCAGCAGATGGCTGTGTATGAGGAATTTGCTAGAAATGTTCCAGGTTTCTTACCAAATAATTGTGAAAGAGAATCCTCATCTTCCTCAGCATCAACATTTATTACAAAACCAGTTCCAGTATGTAAAAATTACTGCAAACCATTATTATTATTATTATTTTTTAACAAAATTTATTAGGGATGGGATTATGTGTTTATATCAAATACATTAATTATACACAGGAAAATCTCATTATTGCTAAAAAGAAATTATGTCATACATATATATGTCTCTTTTAATCCGAAAAATCACAAGAATTCCAGTAGACTATCTTATAGGCTTTAGATCAGGAACATCCTTTATTGAAGATACAGGTTACATATTTGAAAGAAATTATGTTCTATATGATAATTGAATATATATTGCTGTAAGATTTTTAAATCTCTATTCAAATTAGAGGGAAAAAATTAATTATTTGAATATTTTAGTTTTTTTTTTATACATTAAAAAATGTTTGTCTTATATCAAAATTTTATTAGAAATATTTTTTCATTTTTGAAAAAAGTTTGCATTTCAATTTCTTTTATAAAGTATTTTGTATTTATGAATATATCAGTTTATATTTTGTTTGAAAGGATTATGGTATGTATTAATTTGTGAATTATTATTTTTCTGAATAAAATAAATTCTATTATTATTATTAACATTGAGTGATAGTTAGTAATAATTTGCATCAAAGAAACAATTATTTCACATTTGAGAAGTTATATATTTCTGTATTTTGTAAACTTGACAAAAATGTGAAATAAAAAGAAATATTCAAAATTTACTTTTAAAAAATTATTTTTTTTATTAATGTAATTTATAATGAGAGAACTAGTAAGTTTAGATTTTATATTACTATCTTTAGTTTTACACACACACATTCAAGTTGCATTTCTAAAATGTTTGGGTTAAGAAATATTTTAAATATATAAATATTGAAATCTTTAATAACTAAATTTTTATGATGTCCTTACTAACAAGCATTTATTGAATCTATCTGGAAAACAAGGTTTTCAGTAAAATTATTAGATAAGCTCTTAATACGATAACCTGTTTTATATAACATCTGTATGAGGATGTATGTTTGTTTGCTATTAGGCCGTTTAACCAAGGCTACAAAACTCGGCAGTTACATTCACATACTTCTAACATAGATAATGTCGTATATCCCATTCCAAAATATTGGATCTCTATAGATTAATTTTTATCTACATTCTATTTGCTAACTTTACATTTAGTGTTATCTCTTAGCAAAAAATTTAACAAAATAATAAACTAAATATAATTCTTAAAATGGATATAATTTTAAAATATATATATATATATTATATAACCACCAAACACTGATAGTTAGTTAGTCATGGGTTCAGACATCACCAGTGGGCTGCCTATGTGGAGTTTTCTGTGTTCTTTTCATGTTAGTAACACCTAAATGGGGTCTAGCATTCGATAAAAGTTTCCTGGGTGCATTTCCCTCGGCAGATCACTCATGTTTTGCATTGCTGTAACAACTAATAAACCAAACCAAACTAATTCTAATGAGTGATTATTTGTGATGTTACACAAAGCCGAGCTGCGACTTTTTGTCACAATGTTCGCAATTCTTGTAGTGGTGGTCTTGCCCTGTATGTCATACTTTTCCTGTTAGCAATAACGTCGTGTTGGTCATTTATCTAACTCTGTTCAGGGTAATATTTTGAAGTAGCATGACTTCATTTCCAAACTGGAAGTCATGTTACTTCAAAATATTTTAGTCTTACTCTTTACTTATCAGAAACTACACCAGTATAGTATGTCCTAGTTATCAACATGGTCCAAGTAAACAACATAGAAACAAAAAAGAAAAATATTAAAGACATAAAGATAAAAAGAATCATATGAACTCTTTTGGACATTAAGGTTAGCAACTTCAGTTACATTGAGGGTCATTACAACCTATCCAACACAGATCACTTTTCAAATATTAATAGTAGACCAGTATTAATTAGTAATCGTTGATCATCATCTTTTCCAGGAGGAGATCAATGACTACATTTGGTTGAATTACTTTGACCCCCTTCTGCAATAGTCCTTTTTTTTTTTTTTTTTTTTTTTTATTGGACCAGCAGTATGGTGGCATTTGAATAGGAAAACTACATAATACCAAGTTACCAGCAAGCACAAAATATGTTTTAAGTCATTTTCAAGGATGTTGAGTTTAAATATTTTGTCCATTTTTCAGAAAATTTGATTTGTTGACAGATTACCATTCGACTTTTGGCTGTGAATGGTACAGTTTTTTAGAATTAATGTTATAAAAAGAAAATGGTATCTTAAAATATTAAGATATCATATTTTCAATGGCTGTCTACTTGACCAATGAAATTGTGCTATTTCATTCCATCCAAGTATTGCGATAAACGTGACAATTGTAGGCTGAAATAATCAAACTCTTTATATGGTTTTCATTTTAATGTTTGTTATATTATAGTATTTGATTTATATAACTATAAAGGTTATCTTATGTTAGGCTTTATCACACCAAGTGATCAATCTAACATATTTTAAAAATTCTTTAAATTGTGTACAGTAGAGGAGTAAAGAATTTTTAAAATGTGTTGGATTGGTCACTAAGTGTGAGAAACTCTTATGTAAGATAAACTTTGTAATTATATGAACCAAATACTATAATGTAATATACAGTGTAATATAATGTAATATTATAAACACACCAACTTTTTTCGATAATGAAAACATTAACAATAGTAATGTATTTATTATATTAGTATGTTGTTTACAATATCAATTTAAACATTTTCTAAAATATTTTTTATTTTTACTAGGTATTACAATCATATCCAACTGATGATGTGACTCAAATTTATGATAAAGTTTCATCAGAGCTTGAAAATTATGTACATAGTGTAATGGTACCCACTAATAATCCACAAGTAATGTCAATGCAGTGTCTTATAGATGGACTTTATATGGCTCGTAATTCTCGTGATGTACTTCCAGCATTAAGTCTTCTGCGAAAAGTAAGAAATATGAATATTTCAAAGAAAAATTTAATTTTACTAATGAAGTTAGAATAGTAATTATAATAAAATTTTGATTTATTTTAGATTTTTTTTAATATTTATTTGAAAGTTCTAAAATATAACTTAAAATTTATTAACACATTAACATATATCTCACTAACTTACATACTTTTTTTATTTTTATAGTATTTGTATAGTATTTAAAACTGCTTATTTGATGAAGTTTTTCTATAATGACAGTAGCTTTTTATATCCATGTTTTTTAATCACCCTTTTATTTCTCTAATTATGCTTTATTTTTTTCATTTTCCTGTATGTTTTCTGTAAAGGTTCTGAGACTTCAAAATATTGATACTGTACACAGAAATGGAAGATGTTTTATGTGTTTGCCATATTGTAGTTGTCTTTATATTATCTTGTTTGTTTTGGATTTTTTATAATCTAATCTGTATTTACAAAGCTAATTCACAAAGTCACATAGAATTTCATTCTATGTGACTTTGTGAATTAGCTGTCATGTGGGTAGCCTGAGGTAGGACGAGGTCGTACCTCTTTTTGATAGGCAACAGTTGGGTGACAACTGCCCACTGGTCAGTCGATGGCTTAGAAATTGCTTTTTCTATCCCGTAAGTCGGGATTCTTTTGTCAGGTCGAGTGGAGGAGGTGAGAGGGGTCGTCGGTAAAGCGTTAATGATACTCGAAATAAAGACGACTTTTAACAACAAAACAACATTTATTGAGACGGTAACATAACTAACATAAATACATTGAGCTTATCTCGAGCGGACACGCGGGAGTGGAGGGAAGCGCGCCGAGAGAGAGTGTACAATATTGGGTCATACCTCGGATGAATTTTCGGTCTATGTCTTGCTTGAAGGGTTACTCGGATCGAGGCTCTTGATCGGGTAGGTATGCGGTCGTATCTCGGGAGCGTCCCAGGGTTCGTCGGCGAGGCGGTCGGGTGGCGTCCTGGATCTGGGTAAACGAAATCGACCCCCCTTCCGTGCAGCACCTGGTCTTTATACCCTCGGGTCTCGTGGTCGGGTTTCACCAATCGTGGATTTTTTCCAAAAGATGTCCGGGGGATTCAGTTTCGGGTTCCGTTGTGAAAGGAAGTTACTCCGGGGCACGGAAGGATAGATTTCCTCCCAGGGAAAATTTTAACACAAAGAAAAACTGAGAGTTTCGATGTTAATAATAATTGATTGTTTAATATCAAACATTTTATTTTTAATTAACTCGGTTTATTTCTCACATTCATAACCAAACTTATATTGACTTCCTGGTCCATCATAGGAATAAAAATGGTTTCTGTAAGTTACTCTTTGTCTATTCATTCAGAAAAATTATAAAATCATCAATACATCAATTAATTTTTACAAAAGTTGTGCAAAAATATATCTCTGTATCACACCATAAGTATTAGGTTATCCTGCCACTGTCAGAAGTCAGCTTTATGAAGAATTTGTTAAATCTAAAAAATGTCTGATTCAATTTTTATTTTTTGAAAGTTTTGTTTTGTGCAGTTACATTTATTATTTAATTAATTAAATGTACAGTATTTTTATGAATATTTTGGCTTAACTATGCAATTCCTAGATAGTGCATTGGTTGAATTCTGAAGTAAGCCTAAAAGTGTGGATTAAGGTGCTATATTAACAATTCTGTTTTTCCCAAATAAGGAAAAACATTTTTGGTCAGTTTATTTCTAAAAATTTAAGCAAAAAATAGTTAATTTTTACATGCCAAAAACACTACATGGATTAATCTATCCCAGCTTTCAGTTTTACCTTTGGCCACTTCCTTTCTAATGAGTATCATTTGTTTTTGTTTTTTGTTTTTTTTTTACTTTCTGGAACCACACTAAAGCTTCAATCTATAACCTAAAAAAATCAAATAATTTAAGTTAATTTTAAATTAATTCCTAAATTTTTTATAAACAGAGAATTAAGCCATATTTTTATGTAAAGATTAATAATTATGAATTACTTTTAAATTTAATAAAATACTTTAGAAAATTCTGGATTGATTCTGAATGGAAGTTGAATTCATTCTTTGGGTCTATAGTTTGAAAAATAATCTGGCAATTTAGGTGTAAGTTTTGTTAATGATTTGGTTTTATACATGCATATTTTTGAAGTTTATAATATGGATGATGATTAGCTTATGTCATGTATCCATATCACTTGTTAATATGGTTTTCCAACTCTTATAGTCAGATTCCCAAAATATCACTAGTAAATAGTGTTTCTCAAACGGGATCCCGGGATCCCGCTTGTTTTTTTAACCCGGGAAATCCCGCAAATTTCTTAAAAATTCACTTTTTTTCTTATTTTGTGTTAAGGTTAAGAAATTTTGCAAATAAAAAGCATAATTATCTCATTCACTGTCAGAATACATTTGTATTTATTAATTTTAAACCTACCTATTAGTTTTTTTAATTTTTGCTCGTTATGGCATGTCACAAATAGTCGATAATCGATACATAGCTTATTTGTACCAGACTCTGAAAATTCTTTACTTGTCAGAACCCGTAATATATGGAATAATTGTGCTTACGCCGTCTTAATTTTTAACCATGGCCAGTAGCCTCAATAAATGCGTAACGCCAGATTGTGCAAATTGGGCAAAGATACAAACGAGTATAAAGTCTGCAATTATGAAGTTTTTCTTCATAAACCTGATTATTAAAGCCAAAAGAATTGCCAAATTATTGAGCTATAAGCTTGATGCCACTATTAAAGCAGCCGAGGTAGGCAAATCAAAAATACTAGAGAGCAAAAGAAGTACTACAATTTCGAAAATAAACTCGAAATCTTCCAGGCTATGGGTGAATAAACACATAATATCTGTCTTCTCTTAAATGCATTAAACACGATTCCAATCGCATCAATTGAATCGGAAAGAGCATTCTCGGTAGCAAGACTTTTCATTACTAAAATAAGAATTAGAGTGAGTGATCGGAGTATTGATCATCTTTGCTTTTTAAAATCTTATAAAAGTTTACAATATTTTGTATTATATTTTATTTATAAAACGAAAATTACATTCTAAGTTATAAGTTTGATCTAAGTTCAATTTTTAATTTTTAACTCAATTCAAAGCATTTTTGTTGTTGTTGTTGTTATATGCATTTTCTAGCAAACTTTAATAATTTTTTTTCTATTTGTGAAAATTTCTACGTAATTCAAAGGTAATTTTTATTATATATCTTACACAACATTATTAATATGATTTTAGATGATACAGAACTTTAAAATTACTTTAAAAAATGAAAAATAATTATATCATATAATTTCAAGATATTTTGTATACCTTAAAAATAATTGATTCTATCCTGGGAAACAGTTCACTTTTATCCCGGAATCCTGGGACAAGCAAAAGACCAGGAAATGAGAAACCCTACTAGTAAAACATTTTGATAGGATTTAGACCGTGTTTTATTCCCTCATCATCATTGTAAACATTGTATAATACATTTTTATGCTGCCACTGTTTTCACTATTAATTAAAGGATGTTGTGTCAGATTTTCGATTTTGAGTTTGTCGGCCAGACAAACTTGCCATAATTGCAGATACTGATAACCCATATGATATCCACTTGGTATTATATTGTGTAGTTTGTTACTATTATGTTATTTTTTCATTATAAAAATCTAGTTAGTTATGAAAAGCACACAATTACTTTTATATTTACAGATCAGCTGCTACTAACATATGGATCACTCGCTATTAAGCAGTTGCTCATTCTAGGTCAATGTTACCATTTGGTCACTTTTGGATTTTTCCTTGATAGATTTTGTACCCTGCAATGGTGGATATATTTGAAGCCTTATAGTTCTAGTATTGTGTAGTCTAGTATTAAAAATTGTTTTAAATTTCTGAGCTCTTGCACCCCAAAAAGATGATGAATAGCAAGCTTGTTACTATTAAGCTCTTGTTTAATGATCTTTTACTTTGCTTACATTTTATTACTATTATTTAACATAGAAAATTTCATCTGAATGATTGAATAAATTGTACAATAACTTATTATGAAATGTCTATTGTAAATCATTTATTTTTATTAAATTTAAGCATTATCATTATTTAGGCTGTTGAAGGATTACTTGAAGGACTTACTCAATCATTATCAACTGATCCTGATTTAACAATACGTTTCCGAGAAGGCCATCTGTTAGTTCTTAAAGCATTAGCAGATCCCAGAGTTTATGGAATTCAATGGACAAGTAAACAAGTAACAAGATGTCTAATTGAATGTAGAGAAGATTTTCGATATAATTTAGAAGCATTTGATTGTCTTGTTCGTAGTCATCTTGTAAATCTTCAAGCTTATGACTTGTATCTTGCTCAGGTATTTTTAATGTTCCATTCATTTAGTATAGAAATATGCATTTTACAGCTAATTGTAATATCTGAAAAAATATTTAATAGCAGTTATATGATGAAAAAATTCCTAAAATTGATTTAAATATTAAAATGCTAAAAAGAATAATTCTCTTATTCCATGTTTAATGTTTTAATCATGGTTTTAATAAATTTACCAATTTTTAAAATATGTACTTTCAAATATTTATATTTCTAGACATAGTTTGACAGTTAGACATGAGAATTTTTGGGAATTTTTTGATTGTTAAACAAAGACATATCAAAAGAATACAACAGCAGATTAAACTCAATACTAACAACACAGCTGAATGCAAAATACACATTTAAACCATAAACACATACATTGTCCTAGTGCTGACTGTTCCTTGAAGTTATGCTTCAGACACACACACACAACAATGATAATTCCAAAAGGAAAACATGAACAATATTAACAAAACTACAAGCATCATCATAAATTATTCATAGAAAGTCTGACTCTTTGATGTAAAGAGGGAGAACAAGGCCTCAGATATAATAAACCTTCCTTTATTACAAACAAATTTAGACACTGCAAGAGTTTTTCTACAGAAAACAAAATCATTATTACACAAAGTAATAACTGTTGCAAAAAACAATACACTATTATGCTACACAACACTGACTTAGATCTGACACAGTACACAAGAGACACCATCAGAAGTCTTGGGCTCAGAAGGAGCTTCGCAGTGGGCATTCTAATGAACTCAGTTATGATCACAATGACAGAACTACATCAAACTGGAGGCTGACTCATGGATGTTTTTTTGGAGAGAGGAAAGGATCGTATTGTCATGTAAGTCCAGATCATAAATACAAGAAACTACAGGAAGCACATTTTAAAAGATACAATATTTAGATGACACTTATAGAAAATGTCGCATCACACACAAAACTAGATATCACATCACATCTGGTTGCAAGCTTTTAACACAAACTGATTAATTACATTGACATAATCAAATAACAAATATAATGCATCGAAAACTTGCAGACAAATGCACACTACTATACACCTAGGAATCATATTACAAGTACATGCCTCAGACAATCATAGGAAACAATGCACAAAATATGACCATAACCACAGATAAAAAATTCTATCACAACAAACCAGATATCACATTTATTGACAGAGAACAAAATCATGTATATCAGATATGTATTTTGCCAGTATTCCTCATATCACATATATTACACAAATCTCAAAACATTAGGACTTTACAACAACGTATATCATTCTATGAAAGATTGCCATATTAAACACATGTCACATAGTCAGGAAATCTTAACACGGATACATAAACAGCATGTAAACAAAACATTTGTTTTCTGTAGTTATTTTTTGGTTTTCGTCCAGTGTAGCACTAGGAATTCGTTTAAATGCTGTGTAGGATATATTTCAATAAATAACACAATAATAATAATGGAAAAGTCAGTCAAGAAGGTTTAGCTCATTACTTTTTGACTGATCCTTGTATTTAAGTGTCAGGATAATCAAAATGAATGAGTAAATGAACAAAATTAAGATAATCTTTCATGAGAAATGAATTGCTAATTTAAAATTTAACTTTGCTGTAAGTCAGGGGTTGCCAAAGTGATCGATATCAACCCCCAGGGGTCGATGCAACATCACTGGAGGGTCGATTGAGGGGTCGATGCAGCTAAGGGGTCACAACGTTTTTTTTTTTTTTTTTCTTAGACAGAGACCACAACGTTTTTTCGCTCATACACATACACTTGTAATAAAACTTTACGGTGGGGGTCAATGTGAGGCTTTGGAAAGTGATTGGGGTCAACAGTTAAAAAAGTTTGGCCACCCCTGCTGTAAGTAGTCAAGCAAAACTTTATGACTATTGTAAGATGTAGCAAATAATAGGGCTGACATTTTGCATATGAGCATGTAATTGTCAACTACATCATAAACAATAAGTTGTCATTGTAAACTGTCAGTCATTATGTATAGTGCAACTAAAATGGGCAAGGGCAAGGATCTAAATTATTTTGACAAAGGATAAATTATGATAAGTTGCTGGGATGAGTAACTTCAAAACAGTGAGACTACTGGAGTGTTCTTGTGCTACCATGGTGAGTATCTACTGGAAGTAGTCTGAAAAAGGAGAAATCACTAATCATTGGAAAGGTGTTGGTCAATCACGCTAGAGGTAACCAGGCTGTAAAGTGCAAGTTAAGCAAATTTATTGCTAGAGAAGTTGGAGTTGGTACAAATGGACCACTCATTATGTATTTTACGTTGGTTCAGGTTAAAGCTTCTAATAGGTACACCGTTGGATGAAAACAAGTTGTTGGGAGGGTTTTATATTAGAAGCTTCAGGTCTCATCATTTCTGCAGATCAGACTTTGACTAGATACACCTTCCTAAACATCACTAGAAATCAGGTGCACCTTTTCTTGACTATAATGTTTTCTGATGGAGATGATTTTTTCAACAAGACAATGACAAACAAAACAATGCATGTCTTGCCACAAGACATATGTTTTTGGGAGTGATTTGAGGAATGTAACCAGGAGTTTGGTGTGTTGCTTTGGTTACCAAATTCATTAATTAATCTCACGCCATTGAACATTTTTGAGATGTTCTCCAAAGAAAGAACTATTCTGCCACTCCTGCACCAAGAGGCCTGCAGGAATTGAAAGACTGTGTGACTGCATGATTAAAACACTATCAAAGACTTCAATTGAGTCCATGCCTCAGCATCTGGGTTGTTTTAGCAGTGCTTAGTGAACAACAGCATTTTAGGCATATAGTCATAATTTATTGCTTGATTAATGTATCAAATAAATGAATTTACTTGATAATTCAAATAATTTCTTAAATATATTTATTTATTTGTTTTCATGATGCAGATATTTAATTTTCAATCTTGAGTGCTAATCAAAAATCATTTTACCTTTGAAATTATTTTTGATTTGTTTGAGATTGAAAGTTACCTGTTACTGTATAGATATTTATAATTGATATTATTGTAGTATTAATTTAAATATTGGATTTACATATTGTATTTTATTACATATTTAATATGTATTACAAAAATAAATTGTTACATAAATTTGTTTATCAGTCTATGGAAAATGGACTTAATTACATGGCTACAGCATTTGCTATCTCACTAGTAAAGATGTATCTTATAGATGACAGACAAAATGGATGTGTAACTGATGTGAGTCTTCTTTTCTAGATATTAAAATTTGTAGTTGTTTTTAACTTTTTACCAAATTTATATACATTTTTCAGGCTGATTTTTATAATACAATTGAAACATTGATGCATATTGCTAATCATTCAAGACAACCTCCAGATGGGTATGTAATTTTCTTTAATTACAATAAAAGATAGCACATCTTGAATTTATACAGTTAATTTTTTTTGAAGTTTATACATTTGGTTCAATAATTCTTTATCTCTGTTACATTCCCTAAATTGAGATAGTTATAAACATTGCATGAAAGTNATAATTAAAGTTAAATAGCATTTGTTTAAAAAGGAAAAACTTTGAAAAAATAAAAAAAAGTTTTCATTTTTTAAGTTTTCACACTTATGTATGTATTTGATGTAATCAAAAAGTTCTAGAACAGCTTGAAATATTCTACTGTATTTACATTTAAACTAGATGTACTCCCTTCCACTGTTTAGGTACTTGTATGATGCTTTGCTCATAGAATTTGTGTGGCTGCTGTTGAAGCCATTGTGTCACTGCCTCCTTAACCTCAATTTCTGTCCCTTCAATTTTTTTTATTGGACAAAAACCATGAAAATTATATGACGATGGGTTAGGGCTGTAGAAGGATGGAACAACACTTCCTAATCACAATATTCTTTCAATCACCAGTACAGTGTGTATTTCTATTAATAGGACTTAAATCTGTGTGACTGATTTGCAGTAATCTTATATACCAGTTTAATAAGTCCTATTAATAGAAATACACACTGTACTGGTGATTGAAAGAATATTTTGATTAAATTAAGGACATTGAGGCATATTAAATTAACTTCCTGATCACATTTTGCCAATAGATTTTCTACTGTTATATGGGATCATGCAGGAGCAACAGTCTATCAGTGAAGAGGATTGGATGTTTTAATCTGATTGCTCTATGTATTGCTTGGAGAATCTTGCAGAAACTTGTCACATTAATAGTGGATCCTTCTGGAAGAAATTCAATTAAAAGTGATACTTGGTAGTCAGAAAAGAACATTAATATAGCCTTTTGTTTGCTTTGTTCAAAGGTTTTGGGATTTTTACATATTAGTGAAGTGAAGATACATGTTTCCAATGACAAGTTTGCTACCTGGTTGCCTAGTTCATAAAGAAAGAAATAGGATTCTTGTGATGATTCTAGACAAGAACTGTCTCCTTCTGCATGATAATAGAACAGATATTGCAGTAATGCCTCTGTATGCTGTCTGTGCTCCAGTAAGGATGTGTAACATCCACTGACAACAGATCTGTTTGCATTTCCAGCATTCCTTGATCATAGAGAATGCAGCTCAGGTAGATGGTGCCGACAACTTGATGATGATGATATGATTTATGTTGAGTTAATATTTAGGAACATTCACATAAACAAGAATTCACAAAATGTAGAATAAATCTGGAAAAACTAAGTCTATTATTTCATTAAATTATTCCAAAGTTACTTCATCTGCTTAAAAATTTAAAAATTAGCAGCAAAGCATCAACTTCAAAGATCACATTAAATAAACAATATAAGTAAAGTATTTTTTTAATGTTTTTGCAAGTGGGTACAATATAAAGCAATTGCTTTAAAAAATAGCAAAAAGGAGACAATAGTAGGAAAAAAGGTTGAGAAACTCTGGTGTAAAGTAATTGATTTAGACTAACAGGTAAGGAATTTAAGTAAAGTTTTTTTTCTTCAAACTGTTCATAGTCAGACAGCAATTTCTATTCCAAGGATCACAGGAACATTTAAGAAAACATAAATATTGTCAATTATTGAGCATGGGAAAGGCACAATCACATAAGTTGAGAACATATCAGATGAAGGATAATTAGAAAAACTCTAATTGGAAAGGGATGGTGAGTTTGAAACAGATGGTAGTCAAGATCCTAATTTCAATAGCAATAATGAAACAGATATGAATGATAATATATCAACTGAAACAAGTTAACTATAAAAACATTAATTTTCAAATGTTGTAGTTGTGTAGCATATATAGTCAATAATTAGTTTTAATAATTCCAAAAATGTGTGCATCATTATGGTATTTCTTTCAATTTTTACCCACTCATTTGTTGTAAGATGATAAATCCCAGTTTTGAAAAATCCTGGGGTTTAATCAAAGAAATGCAGTAATTTATTATCAAAATTATTATATTTATGTAGATCTTAATTTTGATAAATAAAATATACTTGAAAGTTGATATGACTATATTATTTAAATTTTTTTCTATTAGATTGACTCAAATGCTAGAGGTTTTAAGATCTCTGAGTGATCAAAATTTTCCTGAACGAATAGCTGGTGGTCCAATGTCAATGATGCATTCTGGCATTACTCAGGCAAGAGAGTTTGATGATCCACCAGGATTACATGAGAAAACTGAATTTTTATTGAGAGAATGGGTCAATATGTTTCATTCACCTACTGCCGGGAGAGATAGTACAAAGGCTTTTACTCTCTTTGTACATCAAGTAAGTAATAAAATAATATGTGTTTATATAAATGTATTATTTGTAATACTATTAAAATTCAGATACAGTGGAACCTCTATTTCAAAACTCAAGGAACCCAAAAAAAACATGACACTGAGTTATCCAGACTTTTCTTTGAATCAAATTTTTTTAATGTTATTCTTGAATAAAATTGTGACATTGTCTTATATAATTTCCACCTGTTCAGTTACAAATGCATTAATATCATGAGTTATTAATTAGTAAATTGAACTATTGTGGAAAAACTTCCAATTGGCTTGTGCTTAGTGAAAACAATGAAAACGTAATCATAACTATATTTAAAGCAAGACCTGAAACTAATATACAAAGAAGTCATCTACACACTAATGTTTTAAATTGATAGGAACATCATGTCATGCAATGAGTACTAGTTTCCTCAGCACTGATGGAAGGAATCTGAAAATAAAATGTGAAATGTCAAAAACACCATTTTCCCTGGTTTCATAATACTGCATCATTTTTGGCCAAAAAGTTAGAAAATCACAGTTTTTGGCAGTAAATCCTAAAAGAAACACTATAAAATTTAACAATGAACTTTATTACAGAAATAAAGGTAACAATTGAAATGGCGTTTGCTCAGATTTATTTTCTATTGATTAACAAAGTAATTCAACATAGTTTTTTTTTTTTCATAAAGTTGTGTATTTTTTTTTTTTTTTTTTTGTCCATTACAAATGCTAGTGTCCTTGCATAAATGCTCGTGTGCATATTTTCCACAATGGAAATTGAAGAAAATGCTTTTAAGTGCAATGTACATTTTCCAATGGTGTTCATGTGATTTGATGAAAACGAGCTCTATTAACAGCTAAAGCCATAAGTATTCGTTCTATCATGAATATGCACATTTACTTAAGACTTTGGAATTATTGAAACAATATACTTTTGCAAAAAAAAAATGTGCAAAATAATTAAATGCGAAATCAAATTTCTTCCATAAATTTAAAAACAAAACTTTTCTCTTTACTAGTAATGTTGTATGACATCTGAATGACCTTGAATAAATGTCCAATAAATTAACAATGTATAATTGGTGAAACTGTCACCAAAAATGCCATTTGAGCATGGGAACTTTACTTATAAGCATGTAATGTGATGGGAGATTTTGAATTAAATGATATTTTTGTAGGTTGCCAAACTGGATAATGACTTCAAATTTCACTGTACACATTTTCAAATTATCTAAAGTAAAATATATGCAAAATCCTGTTCTCTTGGCTGAGAACTAAAATAGACTTTGAATTATCTAATATTGAAATAACAAGGTTTTAATGTATTTTAATTTTACAAATAATTAAAATGCGCTAATTTTTTAAAAATATATTTTATTAAAAGTATACAGTAATAGTTTGTTTTTAGATGTATTTAGATTGATTGTTTCACATATTTATCATATGTTTATGTTTAACAGAGAAATCTCTTCAGAATGAAGTGTTTTGAGATCTTACATAAGATGTTTAACATTTTATAAAATTTGATATATTTCTAAAAAGAATCTAATGAAAATTTTCCTTCCAGCTTATCGAATTATCATAATATGTTATTATATTCTCTTTTATAATTAGCTTTTGAATCATGAGATTAAATTTCAATATGGTTAATAAATTATCAGGTGTCTTCATTTATTTTATACAAATTGTTTTCATAAATATTTTATCATTTTTTAAAATTTGTTTTAACAGTTCTATTTAAAACTAAATCATGCTTTTTTCAGTATTTAAAGGATTTATTTTAAAAAGCGTAAAACTTTTAAATAAATTGTGTGTTGTCCCCTCACAATCCAAAAGCAACATTAACTAACCTATCTGATGTTGATATTTTTCTCTATTGCATGTGGTACCATATTGAATTTTTGTTGATGTTAAGCCTAATGGAAATTGCATGTTTTTGAAAAAAATAATTGTGGCTATTGTATCATTTGAAATTATTTTTTTATTTTGCACAAACAAAATAAATATATTAATAAATGTAAAAACAAAAAAAATTATATTTTGGAAGTTTGTTTTAATATAAAAATTATAATGACTAGCAACATCAAGTTTCAAAAACATTCTGATGCTGAAACGAGACATCTCAGGTAAACCAGTCAAGATCAGCAGATTGCAACCTGAGATATGTCAGGAATAACACTGGACAGGTTAAATAATTTTATTTTTAATGTTGAGTCTACAGAAAATAATATACTAATATCTCTGAAATAGGAAAGTATTTTTAAAACTTAAATAATTATTTTTGAAAGTAAAACATAAATGTGTGTATTTTTCAAATGTTTATATGTTTATAAGCTGCAAAACATTACAATTTTGCTAAAACTTAAAAAAAAAAATGTGTACAAAATATTATTAGAAACAGAATGTAGCCTTTGTATTTAATAGAATGTATAGATCAATATTTCTTAACGGGGGCCACAGCCCCCTGGGGTCCATAAGAAGTTTGCCAGGGGGTCACCAAATTCTGCAAAATTCATGCATATTTGTGTGAAAAAGGGTTCTCAACTAATGGATATAAAAACAAAAAAATGCAATTGATTGCGATTATATGCCTGCATGCGGATAGCATTACAAACAATTGAACTAAGAATTAATAAATTAGTTGAGGATATTCAGCAGTAGAAATCTCATTAAATAATTTTCAAATATTTTTTGTTTTTTTCTATGAATTTTTAAATGTTTCTAATTTTATTTTTTGTTAAAAATTAATGCATTTTTATGTTGAATTGTGAAGTTTGAATGTTATTTAAACAGATAATGAAATAATAGTTATGTTTCACATTTATTATATAAAAAAATCAATTTATTATAAATAATTTAACAAATATAAATTGTTATTAAAAAAAATGGGGTCACAAAAAATTATGAAATATTTGGTGGGCCGCGAGTATAAAAAGGTTAAGAATCACTGGTATAGATGATCATTTAAATCAAATGTTAAAAAGGAAAGACAAGTCTAATTCTTAATTGAATTTGGAGAATGATATTAAAATTGCAATTCTTGATTTGAAGAGAGACCTAACTTTGCATTTAAGACATATCTGTCCATCTTTAACATGAAATTATTATTCTATTACTTGTGAAAGATGAATTATTAAATTTAAAGTATATAGTTTTCTGCCTGAAAAAAATTGCCAAGTTTTAAAATTACTATAATTCTTGGAATTTAATTTTAAAATACTTTTCTATATTCAATTAAAAATGCTTGTTTACTTATGTATTCTGTTAAGCATCTCCTTTTATCTATTTTAAGGATATTTTTTCATTTATTATGTTGTATAATGTTTACCATGCCAATCATCTATAAAAAAATATATTTAATATTATAGCTGTCAAAAAAGCAGATATTTAAGAAATAAAGTTTAAAACAATATTTAATAACTTAGTAAAATATATTAAAAAAATCATGTTAATAAAAAATAATTAAAATCAGATTTGCTTCATAACTATCTCTTTGCTGTATTTTGAAAAATTATACTGAGATATTACTGTTTGTTATAGTGACAAAAAAAACTTCAACTTTTTACTGTTATTGTGTGCATAGGTTTGCATCAAACCAATCTTAGTCTAGAACTATCACATAATCCTGAAATAAAGAATGTTTTTCTCCAAAACTGCATATACAGACATGTATATTATGTTTTCGACAGTTTGAAGAAAGTTCTTGATAAGTGAACTAAAATAATTTTTCATTTCATTTCTCAACTCCAATGTCTTTGTTCATGAGAAGTATTAAAATATTTTTGAAGCATATCTATCTGGTGGCACTAATTATGTTAGACCATGATTTGTTTGCGGTTCATTCAGGTACATCATATTAAATGCTTTAAATCATGATATGCAATAGGCAAGAACTTACATTTGGTTTTAAAATTTTTAAAGTTGGTTTTATCTTAAGGATATACAGTGAAACCTGCTAATGTGACACTGAAGGGACCAGCTCAAAGTTGTCACCTTATGCAGATGGTCACATTAGCAGGTTTCACTGTATTTGAATGTAATACAAAATTTTCATATTTACAACAATTTTGTAGCATTTTACAAATTTAAATGTTGCTATGAAATTCCAAAACAAGTTACATGTTCCTTGAATATATTAAAAAATTTCTTCCACAAAATATTTTTTTAAAAACATGACACTGAATGATTTTTTCCTTTCTAATACTTTATATAATTTTTAAAAATTTAGTTGCACTGAATTGTTTTGTGTCCTTTCCTTTTTAACAATAGAACTTAACAAAATAAATGAAGTTGTAATTATTTGGATCAACTTGATTATTAATCATATTAAATTTAACATTTTAAAATAAAAGTGTAATTTTTAAATATATATAAAAATTATATTTTTAATTAAAAATGAGGGGTTTTTTTGTGTTAATTCTAAAATATAATTGAAATCTGTTATTTAATTTTTAGTTTTGGGTGTGCTTACATACTATATGTTTGTCATGATATAGTTTTCTCTGAAAATATATATCAGTTTATCTGTTAACATAATTTTGGAGAAATACTGTTTTCTAAATTAAAGACAGCATAAACACTTAAACCTAAATATATATATATATATATATATA